TTGGCACTGGGCTCAGTCATCTCCAACTAAGCAGTTCTTTATTCTGTCCTTGTTGCAGAATGAGGGGGCTTTCCTTCCAAGGCAACCACAGCAAAGCACACACAACTTTAGTTGGGAAATAAGCGCAACCTAACACCAGCCACGTTTGGAACAAGATTGGGATTGCTGGATATTTTCAGTCCCACATTTTATAAGGGAAGGAATGCCCACAAGTATGTTCAGAAAAAGCCTCTGTAGAAGACTGATAAATCTACAAACATATATTATGAGTCCTTAGCACATGAAGATCAGCGAATCTCAAAAGAGTCATCTACCTGGGAACCAACACAGTGACTGTAGGGAGAGTTGGTATTTGGGTGACCAGGAAAGCAACCAATGAGCTGGGAACCCTCTGATTCAAAGATCCCCGTCATCATGAATTTACAAAGTGGCCCTAACTTAAGCAAGAAATTATTTCACAGTATGGGATGTCTCCACACCTCTGCCAGACTGTAATATGGAGATAATACTGGCCTGTCCCCATAGAGTTTTTATAAAGCTTTTCATTTTTAAAAAAAGGTATACTGGACTAGTCAGATCCACCAGTGCTACTGAATAAAGTTGCTGTAATTCAAAGTGGTGTTCAAACCCAATGGAAACAACTAAATATTTGTTTATTTGTGTATTTGTTTATTTCAAATCTTGCTTGCTCATTCCTTTGGAACTGGCAGCCGGGTGCTTATTTCCACATTTTGCATCCAATCTATGCATAAGCTTACATCTAACAAAAAAAGTATCTTTTAAAAGTTGCAGAATCACACTGGTATTCGAATGCATCCAAGCAGTTGCCAAATGTTCCAAACGACCTGTACCCTGGAGTTATGATTTGTGTTGTTCCAAGCGTTCAAAGCAAGCTGCATTCTAAACTGCCTCAGAACTCCAAGGAGCAGTTGCTCCAGTGACCAGCTCAGACCAGCTTCGTTCTTCTCAGGTCTTCTCTTAGGTCAGACACTGGAAGAGAAAGACCTGAAAAAAGCCCTTGCCCTGGGGAAAAGACTGGTTGAGGAACTGATTTCACATAGGTGCATATATGCAGCACTCCTCAGTTCCCCACCAACATAGCGGTGTTTTCTCAGATAGGAACAACATAGGACTTTTTAAAATTTCCTTTTGCCCTGTCTGAGAGCTACTTGGTAGGCTTTTCACAGTGTGTGTGTGTGTGAGAGAGAGAGGGGGCGGGGAGAGAGAGAGGGGGAGAGAGGGAGAGAGAGAGAGAGAATGAGGACTAAAGTCAGAAAGGATTCTTTCCTGAACAGTAGCTGTATTGGTCTGTTGCACCAAACTTTCTTTCAAGGGTAAAATGCATAACTTTGGTGGGATCATGCCTGACATTTTAACAATGGAGAGGGAAGGGAGGGGAGCACAGAAATGCAGAGGAGTGGACTAGACAAGAGCCCAATTATCCGCATGGAGGGGGTCCATAGAACAAAAGGGGTTGTGCGGTTGTGCAATTTCTTCACCCCTGGGAAAATCTGATTCCTGGCACTTACGATTGCAGGTACAGCAGACATTTCCATTCCTACGTCTCAAGATAGGAAATGCAGAATTTGCCCTAGAATGATGGCATTGTTTTAGCTGCACATCACTATTTGCTCAAACTTTAGATGTCCATATGATACTGTGCCGAAGTATCTAACGGTTATCTTTTGTCTGTGTTTTTCTCCAGCATGCCTTCTATCGCCAGCCTTCCCAGTACCAAAGCAGAAGTTCCACCCTAGGTGCATTATGGCTCCTTCCCAGTCCGGCTGTTGTGCAGGGTGTCCTGCGTGCAACTAGGTGCCTTTGTCCTGGCTGTTATGGGCTGCCTTATGAGCATCTGCTCCACATCTGCCAACCTTGAATGGAGAGTGTGGCCGGTAGAGAACATCATGGGCAGCAACCAACAGGGCATTGTGGGCATTGTGATCTGGGGCGCCTGTTCCGTGCGAAGAATTACAATGAAGAAAACTAACATTATATGCATACCATTAAACGATGAGGCGTCCCTACCAGCTGAAATCATCACGGCCCAGGACTTGATGCCATTGGCCTCAGTTGCCAATGTGGTGACCGTTCTTTGTATAGCCTTTGCGCTATATAACATCTTTGAGCCAGGAAAACACGGTAGTTTCATTGCTACGTTCTTTTCAATTCGAGCAATGATGGAGTTGGCAGCAGGTACATGTGTACTTATTTCAATTTCATGGAATCTTCATTCTATATTAACAAATGAAGGAATTCCGCTTCCTGAGGTTTTGGGAGTGCCTCCCATTCCAACAGAACAACATGCTGGAATTTCAATCTATATTGGGTTTATTGCTGCAGCTTCACAGCTTTTATTTTTCACACTGGTTCTGGGTGAAAAGTAGTTTTGGAAAATGAGTGAAACAAACACTTCCAAGCAAAAATTTGTAAAGGAGAAAGTGTTACAGACACTGAAAACCCAAAGCTCAGGATGAAATGCAGGCAGTACTAGTCTTCTGTGACACTTGAGTGTGAAGAAGAAAAACCCACTATTTGGCGGAGATATCAAAGTCATATTAAAATGGAAACCATGCCAGGCTCATTAGGAATATGGCTAAGGAATGGTTCCAGTCCTGTGACTGGCTTTTTTTAAATGGTAGCATGGGACGTTGTGTATATTTATTACCAAATTTGTTGGTTTTTATCTTTCCTTATGCATATTCTGTTTGGTTTTTTCTTTTTAACTGAGTGCTTCAGTATCCCACCCTGGGATGCTTACAACATAGGGTTAACTATAAATAGGGCTGTGTGTGAAAAGTATAAAACTGTTATATTTAGATATTTATTCTATATCTCTTTTAGCAATAAAAAGAATGTTATCTCATCGCACACTTATGCTGGAGTGCTTATTTCGCTGCAGACTGTACTGTCTATGGCGCTTTTCGAATTTTCTGCATTTCAGAAACACTGCAAATTGCAAAAGGTTCTGGGGCATGCTTCGTGTGTGTGTGTGTGTTCTTTGGGTGTGTGTGTGTGTGTGTGTGTTTGCAGTCCATTTTACAGAGAATACTGGCCAAGCCTTTGAGTGCCTGTGTGCTGCTCCCAGCCCTGGCCAGCAAGAACAATGATGAGGGACACCAAGTTTCAGTGGTCCAGAGAGACCTAGGCCACTTCCAGCTTTAGGCAGAATAAAAAAAATTAAAATGAAGGAACACAAAACAAAATAGCGCCACATACCAAAGAAGTGAGATGTAATTAAATATGACGAAATATCTGCGAACAAAAGAGAGAACCAACATCTTTTACCAAATCATACCTCTCATTTGCTTAAGTTTGCTTAAGTTTGCAGCTCTAGGCTGAGAGTGGGTGTCACATTTTGGTCTGCTGCAGGTAGAAACAAGTTGAGAGAAGAATCAAATACCCAAAAAATTAAGAAAGGACTAAATCTGAGGCCCACTTTGAGGTTGTGCACCAGGCCGAATGCCCCCCTGCACCCCTCCCCCAAACTGGCCCTGCTTACAGGTTTACTTCAAAAACTCCTGCTGCTTCTGAACACCAAACAAGACAGTGGAATGGGCCCTAAGGTACAAATTCTGTGCTATTTTTCTAGAAAAAGAGGTGCTGGAGCTCGCCCTGAACGCCTCCCTTGTTCTTTTACAATGGCAACAGTGCCAACCTGAGAGGTGCCGGAACTGAGATCCAGCGAGTTCCAGCTGGAAAAAAGCCCTATACAAACTATAATTTTGAACGGATCCATGATATTCTTAAGAGTCCTGTAAACATTTCAGTTTTTTAGGCATCCAGAAGGTTGGGTTCCATTTTTTGCCAAATTGCACCAGGTCTTATTTTATTGCTGCCGTAAATACAATTCTGCTCCTTACAGCTTTCCCACAGTGATTTACAGCTAGGAATGACTTTGACAGAAGACCACGGGTATTTAGGAACGGATTTCCCTGTACAACATGGCAAAATTATTATCTATGCAGATGGTGCTCTCTGTGTCTATAATCCATACTGTAAAATAATAATAAATTACACATTTGTAAAAGTCAACAGTTTCATAACGAAATCTTGGACGCAGTAATCTTTGACCTGCGTATCCAGCCTCGGCCACTGCTTTCCTGATAACTCCTGGTGTCATTGTTCTCCATCTCAATCAACTTGCTCACTTCATCCATTGGTTTCTCAAAATTTGTTCTGTAGTAAGTTATAATGATTACCTGTCAGGGTCACCTGGTCCCTATGCAGGGGCGGAGGAAGGGGGGCGGTGGGGGTGGGTCACCCCGGGTGTCACCACTGAGGGGGGTGACAAAATGCCGGGCAGCACTCACCGCAGGGCCTGCAGCGTGCCCGAGTCATGTGTCTCTCCTGGGAGTGACACGGTGGCTTGGGTGCCCGCAGGCTCCACGCTGCCCAAACGGTCCATCTGCCACCTCCCCCCAGCTGCAGGGCGGCTGAGTTGGAGGAAGCAGGCAGACTCCTGGGAGGCCCTGCGGAACGTCCTGCCCTGGCTGGCCCCTTGCTCTGCTGCTGCATCTAACCATTTGAATCCTGGACCAATCCAGCCAAGGTGAGTGGGTCTGCAATGTACCTTCCTTCTGTTTCAGAGATGCCAACTCTACAGGGATGAGGCATCTTCAGCCCCCCAGTGTCTGTTGGGATAGGGCTAAGCAATGGAGGGGCAAAGGAGGCTGAGCCCTTCCTTGCCTGCCCTCCCCCTCCCTCCTACTTTAGTCTGCTGTCCTCTGCCTCCTTGGGAGATGCCGCGTGACCTGGCTGGAGGTTGTTCTGCCCCGCAAGGTGGGGAAATGCCACATGGCCTGGCACAGCCTGGCTGGAGGCTGCCCTGGGCCACGTAGCACCAAGATACACCAAAGCAGCACTGAGGAGGTCTGTGACAGTTGCGCAACATCACAATGCGCATGACATCACATATGCACGCTGCATGTGTGACATCACACATGCACAACAGCCCCCCCCCCATGCTGAGTGAAACTCAGGGCCTCTGCTCTGCTTCATTGAGAAATAGCAGTTCTCCAACAAAATTTAGAAAATTCAGTAGTGTGACAACCTAGCAGTTACTCAGGGCTATGATTTTTATGAAAACCACCTTCAGATTATGCATATTACATGGGAAATGTACATTGCATGCACACATTATGTACATTACATGCACACGGCTACCTATCTGTAAATGCACACATTAGTTTGTGATTACATATTTCTTGTTTCCTGAATAAAAATGAGAACTAACTTAACTAATAAGACCTAAGGCTGATCTTGAGAATAAGGTAAAGGAAAGGTAAAGGACCCCTAGATGGTTAAGTTCAGTCAAAGGTGACTATGGGGTTATAGTGCTCATCTCGTTTTCAGGCCAAGGGAACCGGTGTTCGTCCACAGACAGCCTTCCAGGTCATGTGGCCAGCAGGACTAAAAAGCATCTGGTGCAATGGAACACTGTAATGAGTGCCAGAGCACAGGGAAACACCATTTACCTTTCCATGGCAGCAGTAGCTATTTATCTACTTGCACTGGTAAGCTTTCAAACTGCTAGGTTGGCAGGAGCTGGGACAGAGCAACAGGAGCTCACCCCCTCTCATGGATTTGAACCATCAACTTTCTGACTGGCAAGGCCAAGAGGCTCAGTGCACAGGGCCACCCATGTCCCTTGATCTTGAGAATATGCCACACACTGCCTGGTACTGCTAGCATTATTTACTCTGAAATGTATTTTGTTTTCTTCTGTTGCAGCATATGACTCAATTTATTCACATAAATCAACAGGACCTGCTATCAGCCAGTATGTATTTGTGTGGTCTGGACCATGTAGTCTGGAATGGAGCTGAAGAAAATGTCTCCTACACAAAACAACAATGAAACCCCTCTCTAGTAGAACCATCCGTTGTGAGAGATATGGGCCTGAACTTGTAGTACAAAACATCAGCACATGTTGTGCTGTACAGTTACCCTTCTTACTCTCAAGTCTAAGAAAGCATAACCACGAAATTCATTCTATACTTATTTAGAAAAGGGAAGACTACAGATGAATTGCACTGTATTTAAAAATGGTCTCCCAGGATAAACAAAGTGTCTCTGTTTGATTTAGATACACACGAACTGGACAGACATTTCTTAGGTAAGTAAAGTACTGGCGCCTGAAGATTTCAGATAGTTGCCAGAATACAGTAATAGCGATTCTGTGCAAAATCCAGAATTACAATAAAAAACACAGAGCAATACATTGCCTTTATTTGCATGCCCACTTAATATATTTCTGCAATTTGGCACCTAGGATCAATGCTCATTAAATAGCAGTATTACTTACCCACCATTATTCTTGAGAACGTAATTAACCCTCTAGATCTCATATTAGAGGATGTACAAAAAAATGCTGCCCATAGTCAGCGCATTTTATTTCTATATGTTAAAACAGCAAAGGGGAAAAGCAAATTCTCCCTTGCCTTCTCCGCATATAAGCACTGTCTCCAGAGACAGAGAATTTTGCAAACAAGCAAAACAGGACAAAGAGGTATAAGGTATTTAAGGTTCCAATCTTTTATAAAATATCTTTTGCTAATATAGGGATATGCAAGCTTTTGAATTCTCTGACCAAATATTTGGGCACAACCTAGAGAGTCCTTTTGCAACTAGAACTTTTCCCTGGATAAAATATTGCAGGACAAGTCCCAGACTGATTGTAAACTTTCAGAGACACCATGCATTAAAGAAACTAGCATCTCCGACTGAATTTTTACAAGCAGAGGGGATTGACATGATTACTCCTCTCCATGGATTTACTTAAGTGTAATTACCCAAATGCTTTTCTTAACTGATGCTTTGGGCAATCACTTCAACCCTTATATGGAAAATTACTACCAGGAAAGCCTTCTTACAGAGAAGAAGGGTGGGTGGAGCAGAGAGTATAGGAGGAATGGTAGAATACCTAAGCACAGAACATGGAGCAAAGCCACTATTGTTTTGAATCAGGGATAGTATCATACAGAGATGGCCTTGAGAATGTGCAGAGAGCCCTTCCTGTGCAGCTGAATAACCCATGGCATCCTGCACACATAATGGCAGAAGACAGGACTTCCAAGGATATTTAAACATGAATATATTTTCTTTGCAAAACTAAGCACTGGTTGCTTCTATGTCCTTATGTCAGGCTAGTCAGTCACACAAGCAGATCTCCAAAACACCAATGGCGTTGCATCCTTCACTGACACCTGGGGGGGGGGGGACACATGCCCCAGGCAGGAGCAGGGGCTGGGCACAGAGGGTAAAGAAAACCCACTGTGCCTGCCCAAGCCTCTCTGCCGCTACTGGGCGGGGTGGGACACTGAGGGTTCACAGGGCTGTGCTGTGCCCCCTGCCCACCCACACAGGGGGAAGCCCAGCCAGCCAATGCAGCCCTTGGCAAGCAAGTCTAGCTGACGTTTCTAAGTCAGCCTGAGGCAAGATTGTCCCATTTTTGTCAGTCTAGAAACAATTTGGGGCAATAACCTGGAGTTGCTCAACAAATAATTCCTTTAAACTAGTGTCATGGAAGCTCAGATTAGACACCACTTCATTCTTGGAACTATTCTCAGTTTCACCATTCTAAGAGTTTGGGGGTCCTGTTTTGGCAAGCCTGACCCATGAATGTGAAGACATTCAATACCTAGTTTCAAAACAAAAGGTGTCCATGACTCCTGGAGCTTATAGCTCCACATCCAACTTTTCAAATCTGTCTTGCACTGTCATTCAGTTCAGGAAGATATATGTGAAAGCATTCTAAGGTAAGCAAGGCCTAAGTGATCCTCCAAGACACTGTATATTAAAATTAGCACTTTCAACTGTATTTGCAGTAGAACTGGAAAACCAGGTCTGATAATTCAATATAAATACTACATGCACCCAGCCTGTAGCCAATCTTTTCCAGTAGATAAGCATCTGCATTTGGCATTATATGAAGTTTGTCCGGTGGCCTTTAAACTTAGTTGCAAGTACAGGGCATCACAGTATTCTATTCGGTCCATTAGAAATATACAAGCATTTAACTGCAATGATAGCAAAAACACAAATAGTGCCCCTGTCAGCAGTGTGACAAATATGCATATGCACATCACAGCTAATATGGAATATTAATTGAATCACATGAAAGATGTCACATTTGGTATGATAAAGTGACGCCAGATACTCACTGCTTGTCTTCAGGTTTAATAACGGATGGGTCTGTAAGATTCTCTCCAACCCCTGTAGAAGACAAATTTATCAAGTATATTAGAAGGAAACTGCATTTTAAAAAATCATTTTTGAGACTGTAGCCTATGCAATCATTTTACAGCTATCTAATCTTCCACTTTATAGGGCAGAAACTGAAAAAACAACATTACAACAAATGTTGCATGCTCATTTCATTTTTGAAGCTAATTTTTTATTCTTTTTTCAATTTTAATGCACCACTACAACAACATCAGTCTAAAGTGTTTTGTAGATCCAAATGGACACCTGAAATATATGTGAGCAAGAACTATATATCAATGTCAGGAAAAATCGAGTTCAAGAGATGCCCTTTGGTGTGCATTGAGACTTCTGTGATACTGAAAGAAATAGACCAGTCTCTATAGAGACAGAGGTGGAATCTACACACATATAAAAACTGTTTTGAAAATGCTTTTTTAAAAAGCGTTTTTAAAACTACATTGAATTTTCTGTCTAGTGTCTAGTTCTGCCACCCATCTAGTGTCACATTGTACACTGCACTTAAAACACACTTTAAAACATTTTATTTGCAGCTGTCTAGCTGAGTGCAGAGCTGCACATGTGCTCTTGGGTCTCCATGCGCAGACCTCAGCTATTGGATCGGGGTGGGGGAGATCTTGTGTGCTCAAACTTAGCCTACTGATTAATTCAGCTTTGCCATCCTGGATAAAAATAATTACGGTACGTTTTGTGTATATTAAGAGCTATACCTGGTTCCTTACAAACCCACCTGTGCATATGAATATTTTGCAGCTGTGTTGTTATCAGATGGAGATAGATAGATAGATAGATGATAGATAGATAGACTAGGCTTATCGTACAAGACTAGGCTTATCTAAGAAGCTAATGACAAACATTTTTCACTGGGCCTACTTCACAATTTGCCTAAATTCCAACCTTCCTAGTTTGTGATGGCATAAATTAAAATTGGGTGTAAGTAAAATTGAGGAGAGGTGCAGAAGTGAAATTCCCATTTAATGGCTGACATTTGTGTCCAGCAGTGCTTCTCTTGCTGAGATTCAGATTTTCCAAGAATTCAGTGGCACAGCTCATAGCTACATGGAGCTCTGTGCATTGTACTGTGGTTCCCATTTTGTGGAACTTCCTTCTAGTTGAGATCAGAGAGGTCCCGTCACTGTTGAATGTCTGGTGCTTACTGAATACTTCTTCTTCCTCCTCCTCCTCCAGCAGGCTTTTTAATTGAATTCTGATATTATAGTTAAGTGGGTTCCCATGAGGCAAGACACAGTGTTAATAGAAAGAACCTTTCTTGAACTACATAACTGGGAAACAGGGGCAAAGCAACTGCTTATATACATTCCTGAAAGCCTAGGCCACTCCCACTCCCAACATGATTGGCTGTCTAAACTTCCAAGCTGCGAATCACGACTCAGAGTTCAAGGGCCAATGGCAGAGACCCAAATCCTGAAATGTTCTGTGATTGGACATCATGTAGTGAATCAGAACACAGGAGCTCAGACTCCATAGTCCAGACTCAAGCTCAGGCAAAAACAGAGACCACTGAATACATAACAATAGTTTTAACTCATTTTTACTATTATTGTGTTGGGTCCCCTGTACACTTCTTAGAGATTACTAGGAACAGTGGCAGATCTTGGGGTCCCAAATTTCAGCAGTGTCCTGTGCAATGCCAAAATTTGGCACCCCTCCACCTCTCGCACTCTGCTGTAAATCATAGTTGTGTCCTCCCCAGCAGTGCTCCCCAGGCTCCGCGCCCAGTGCAGCCGAACTGGTCGTGCTCCCCTAAATCTGTCTCTGCTGGGGTTAAGCAGTCTGCAATTCTTTGAAATAAATATATTAATCTTAAACTTATTACCCACCTTCACCAGTCAGTCCCAAAGCAGGTTACAATATGTAATACTACAGAGCCATGCAGAAAACCACATCATTCTGCACCCCATCCCCACTGACCAAGGCAGCAGTGATTTTCACTCTCTGAATAGCACATTAATTGCTTATTATGCTTTTAAGAGCATGCAACTATATTGTGCTATGGACAAAGGGATGCTTGAAGTACCATGGCCTGAATATGAATTTTAAGAATATCACAAAATTGAAATCCAAACCTTTTCTGAAAGCTGAACTGAATATGTCAGAGTTTGTTGTTATCTTTTATTGATATGCACAAACTTCCCCACAAGTCTTCCATGGCTCTGTGCAAAGACCTTCACATGCACTTAAGCTTTCAAAAGAAGCCACCCACACAGCAGTTTTAAATCACTTGACTCTTAAATTTTGAATGTGAAGATAACAATAAATGAGGTTAGGGGACTGGAAGGTTTATTTTGTTTGAAAAATGTGTCTCGGTGTAATTCAGGCCTTTTGCACACTGTAAATAAATTAAACCTTTATCTTCCAGTACACATTTCCTTTGACACAATAACAGACAATTATATTGCTACTGCTTTATAGGTGGTTGTTCATCTTTTCAAAACTGTCTACTATTTCCCTTAAAACACCCTAGTCCCAATCCAGCGTTTGTATGTGTGTAAGATCTGATTTGCATGTGAAGCTGCTGTTTGAACAGGAGCGTCCCTATTCACTTATGTGCCTGGAATGGACCCTTCTGTTTTATGTAGGGCCCATTTTGTGCCCATTTACTAACACCACCCCCCAATGCTTCTTGTCCCAATGCTTCTTCCATGTGAGGGTTGTACCCAGTGTCACTCATAGAATAGACCTATGTGGGTCCATCAACTTCAACAGGTTTACTCTGAGCAGAACTTAGTTCACTTCAGGCCTGGCTTTTTGTGTGAGAAGGACAGAAGGGAGCGTGGTCTTCATAGGTGTGAGTGTGCTTACTCCTTCTGTAGATGCAACTCATTTGTCTTTTTGGAAGTGTTGTTTTCCCACAAGGGCAGTGGTGTGTTGGGCAGGTGAACTTAGCACAGCTCAGCCCACATTTACTGAAACATTTGTGTTGTATAACCCTGCTAATTTTTGACAAAAACCAATTGCAGAAGTCAGCAGAGCACAGCTGCACATTTCCCTAAAAGAAAGATAGCACTGAGAGGTTATTACATATCTCTTTAATGCTGCCCTGCCCCTACCATCCCGTCATCCATCTCCCTGTGGCTACTGGAAATCTTGCTCTGCCCTACAGCAGACAGAGGAAGAGGATGGCAACCAAATCAGTTTTCAAGCAGTGTAGGAGGCACAAGAGTTCCATTATTATGTGAGAGAGTTCTTTAAAAAGACCAAGCCATCTAAATGATGAGGTGGCAATCCAAGGGGAGTCAGTAAGGAAACTGAGTTGGGCCCCAAACTACTTGTCATAATTTCAGTGAAAAGAAACTGTCATCAAAGCGTGAAGAGCTTACAGCTGTCTCTAGTCCTTGTTTTCATTTATGTTGTACGTAAGGGTTGAATGGCCTCCCTCAGTTTTACAGCAGAGTATTTTTGGTTCTCACTTACCTTGCAAATCTAACACAAGGAGCTCTCCTCGAGTATACTCATAAGTCCAGTGAGAAAAAGCCAGCATCATTTCTTCCAGCAAATTGCTAGGCGTGATCTCGTCCCCATTGTTGTTATTGTACTTGCGGAATTCTCCAGTCATGTACTTTTCTATTGTAAGCCACTGGTTGGCTGAATGGCAATATATTAAGAAGACTTCCAGGAACCTGAAAGAAGGATATTGTCAGTCAGGAAGTTATCTGAGTGGTGAACATCTTCCCATGAGCCACACCACTATTGCCAAATATGAGGGGGTGGGCAGATTTAGCAGAGCAGGGGCAGCAAATGTTCTTTTGCTGCATTTGATGAAAACAAAAAATAATTTACATATCTGGCAAATGCCAAAGTGCAGTCACTACCTTTGCCTCAGAACAGAGGTCACCCCATCTTGTTTTCTGAAGCTTCGGATGGGTTTCCCATTGACTTAAAGTGGGAAATCAACTAACACCTATATACCTTTTTGCGGCTTTTTGGCAGAATTGGGTTTAATCCTAGAAGCCCTCCCAAGACTCTGAAGTGGTGGCAAAGTCTCAGAGCTTTCCTGCTTTGCCATGAACTTCTAGGCGGTCCTAATATCTCTGAGGTGGAGATTCTTGCCTCAGAATCATGCCTCATCCAAGGCAAATGCACAGCCCTACTATTTAACAAAAAACAATAAATTTATATAAATAACATTTTCTTTCAAGTCAAAAGGGAACACATTTGTCTTTAAACTCCTGTGCACAACTAACTTCCTTTTAATTCCATTGAGTCCTGTCTGTGGCAAGATGCTTTACATGGAGCTCATAAAAAGCTGTAACAAAAAGGCAATCACAGCATGATCAAAAGAATAGAATAGATTCTTTATTGTCATTACACAAGTGCAACATTGCACAAGTGCAACGAAATTGGATGCCACCCCTTAAAACAACAAAAGCAAAACAACAACAACAACCAAACAAACCACATTCCAGCCACACCCACACCAACACCCATCAAACTCCCAGGTCACACTATCGAGTTACAGCATTCAAAAAGGCCACAGCTCTTGGATAGAAACTGTTTTTCAGTCTATTTGTCTTTGACTTGATGTTTCTATATCTCCTGCCAGAAGGCAGTAGTGCAAACAGACTGTGTCCCGGGTGAGATGAATCCTGCAGGATGTTATTTGCTTTCCTAAGACAACGGGAACCGTACAGTTCTTCCAAAGATGGGAGAGGATGACCAATAATCAAGTCAAAGACCAATAATCAATAATCAAATCAAATCAAGTCAACAAAAGTATCTATTTCTGTACCGGAGCCATCCAGGGAGACAGAAAATAGCAACTTTACTGGTCTAGTTGCAGATCTCCAAACAAGTGTGGTCAAAGTCCTTAAAAATCAGATAGGCTCATCCCTTCTAATAAAAACCAGGTTAAAAACTCTTCTGAAATGGAACACTGGTTTTCACTTTGATAAAGCGTTCAGATTTTTTTATGAGGAAAAGGCCAATATTACTCTTGATACTCTATAAAATTGCTTGTAAAACAAATTGTAAAATTTTATTCTAAGTATTCAGAACCAAGTTATGAGATCTCTCATCAAATAAGTATGGCGAGATGGAGAAATCTGAAATTGAGCTGCACAGGTGGGTGTTTAAATATATTACCTCTACATGGTACAGAGAATTAAAACATAAACTCAAATGGGTTTTCTTTTTCTGCTATAGCTTTGAAACTGAGCTGAGAACTATGAAAGGCTGAAGAGCTGGGATGAGTCTGGTCTTAGCCAGGCCACCGCCTGAATCTAGAGGTCCCGCTTTCTTTCAGAAGCCTTCCCTAGTTCTTCACCAGCTGTCAGCCACCTCCACATAATGAAGGGCTGTTTGGGGCTAGCTGTCCAAAGTTTACTTCTCTTCAGACTGTGCCCTGATCCATCAGTGACCTGGTCTGGCCTGGCCTCTATATTTTATTTCATGGCAGAACGAGTTCTGAGCTCTGATACTCTGATGAATGAATGCTTGCTAGTGAGGGGTGGGGGGTGTGCTTCCATTTACACTGAAGCCCTCCCACATTTAACCACAAGCTATTAGCAAGGTGCTGTCTTCTAAGGACAAATTACATGATTGCGCAGAGCATAAAGCTAGTATCCTACCCTGGTACTTCAGTGTTGAAGCTGACTGATTATCTGCTTAAGCAAGGCATCTCATACAGAACCTAGATAGGTTTCACCTCTTCCATGTTAAGCCTGAAAACAGCTTCCCTACCTTGGGGTGTAGGGAATGGTATGTGGCTTCACTTGATTGAAGGTGTATATCAACTTCTGAGCAGCTCTTTGCTGCTGTATTTCCTAGCAATAACAACAATGCATAGTATTTAGTGTTTTTCAACAACAAAAATAGTACAAAAGTCGCTACAGCTACATTATTGCAACAGTTCTTACAACAGCTCTTGAAATAAGACAGCCAGTATTATCATCACCCCCATTATTTCCGATTTACGCTTCGGGGCAAGATCCTGCAGCTTGCAGGCCACCCAGTAGGTCTTTTTATGGCTGAAGAAAGAGCTGCACTGGGGGCTTCCAGCTGAGAGATCATACTCCTAACCACTATCTGTGGCTTAGATGGAGAAAACAAACATCAGTTATAAACAGTTTTAAGACATAAGATACAGTCTTAACTGTTCAATGCTAAGAATGCCTGACCATGGTTTGTTTTCTAGCACAAACCAAAGATACAAAGCACCCTATTGTCTGACCTCCTCAGTTCCTACAGCAGATATTAAAACATCCTTGGGGTGCCCCCCCCCAAGCAGTGCAGGCAGCTTGCAAATTGGGTTTCATTGACTTTTATAGTTACATTGTCATTTTTTGTTTGTCCCGGCCTAATGTGCCCAATATATTTTATGTGCAATGTTTGGATATAATTTCAACACATTTTCTGGTACAACAGAAGGGGACAGAAATGGCGACATTTCCCATTTATGCCACCAGGTAGTCAGGCATTCAACTTCAGGAAAGACTTCTGTTAAATAATTCTTCACAGGGGTTCAACGATCACATGGAGTCAGTATAGATTTCTAGCCAAGTCATACGCACTCTGAGGCAGAGATTGAGCACGGTGCCATCATGGAAGATCTTTTGCCATGACTGAACTACTTCGGGAAGGAAAGATTTCACAATGAAGACTTGACCCAACTTCAGCACTTCATTCTCAGACCAGGTGCAAATGACCTTCATGGCCCTCCTCAGGCCTCCACCCATTTCCTCCCGAGACAACACTTGAATCATGGCCGCCATCCCATGCTGTGACCAGGTGGACATGCTTTTATCAAGATTCAGTGGAGAACTCTCTTCCAGTCTATAGACGGTCACTTCTTCTCCAGCTAAGACAAAATAAATTGGAAATATTATCTGGAAAGGACACAGCCGCATTGACTTATGCAAGTAGAACAGCATACTCTACGTTGAATTTGTTTTCTTAAAACTATTTATATACAAAGCCGTTGTTTCTTGGTACCACAATGAAGAGGTAAGATGTAATATATATTGATGCCGTATGATTTCATCCAGTAATGGTGCACTCCTATGCTTGTCTACTCAGAAGTAAGTCTCCCCAATTTCAGTGGGGCTTACTCCCCTCTTTGTGCATTCATAGAGAAGCTGGTACTCACCAAAGAGCTGAACTGGAGTGAAAGGTATTGTATGAGCCAATCTCATTAGATTGTTCCTTTCGACAGCTGCAAAGAAATAGGGCAGGTAGGTCATATTTGAGCAGTGCATCATTTACTCCTATTTTCTGCCGAGAAACATTTGATGATACTTCTCAACATATGCATGTGGACGAGGCCCTTGGCTCCCAAGCATCAAATCCGCATTATTGCTTACCTTTCCAAGTACAGTGGTGCCTCGCAAGACGAAAATAATCCGTTCCGTGAGTCTCTTCATCTAGCGGTTTTTTCGTCTTGCGAAGCAACCCTATTAGCGGCTAAGAGGATTATCGCTATTAGCGGTTTAGCAGCTTAGCGGCTATTAAAGGCTTAGCGGCTAAAAGGCTATTAGCATTTTAGCGGCTTAGAAAAAGGGGGGGAGCGAAAAAAAAATCGCAAGACTCGCAATACGTTTTCGTCTTGCGAAGCAAGCCCATAGGGAAAATCGTCTTGTGAAGCAACTCAAAAACGGAAAACCCTTTCGTCTAGCGGGTTTTTCGTCTTGCGAGGCATTCGTCTTGCGGGGCACCACTGTACTGGGTTTCCACTGCCCATCTTCACAGCACACATCACCCTACTCTGCACTGCAACATTATATGAAAAATATGCAGGACAGCTGGGGCAGCCAATAATATTCATATTAATACTACTACTACTACTACTACTACTAATAATAATAATACATTAGTTTTTACCCAAAATAGCAACCCATCCATCTTCCCTACCACTGCAATCCTTGGCTCAAGCTCAAGCAGTCAAGTTTAGGGACAACGCAGGAATTATTTATTAGGTTTATGTGCTTAGTTCCTGGTTTGTTTGGTGGTGTTGCCTAAACTATTATGTCTTCCATTTGAGACCAGGTGAAGATGGTGCTTAGCATGAATTAAGTAGCATGTCTGTATGCAGCTGCTGTCATAATTTATGTTAAGAACTGTGCAGGCTGGGAAGAAAGAACACGAGTTGTACTGACAAGTACGTAAAAGGCTATGCAACATGTTGTATGTAGTCACAAGAATAACTTTTCTTCTCTCTTTATTAAGACAGACAGACATTAGAGGCTGTAATCTTGAGCAGAATTTTGACAGGCAGTGGGTGATAAATCTCCTTTGCTTTCAGCCATTTCACCAGCTCAAAATCACACACACCCCAGTTGGTTTTCTCCTTGAAGGTGAAAAGATAAGTGACATGTTTTTATCATTATCCTTGCAGGGACAAAAGCAGTCAGGAGATTGGGGGGGGGGGGGGAGTAAGAGAAATAGCCTGTTCCTGCTATCCTGCTATAGGTTCTACCTAAGAAGAAGGAGGAGGAGGAGGAGGAGGAGGAGGAGGAAGTTACATGCATCTGTGTGTGATTTAGCTGCAGGCATCTTTCCTGGAAATAAGAGTGCCTTAACAGCAGCTCACCAGAGATGGAGTGGTTTGGGAATATCCTAGAACTGAGTTTACCTTGAACAGCCGCCACCCCCCAAAAAGGAATTTATGGCCACACTGCAGGTTGCAAAGTGGAAGTGGAAGTCTGATGACTTTCGGAGAGGAGGGCAAAAGTGCTTCATTTTCAGCAAGGGGCTGTTTAGGGTTGGTTACTGTTGTGGTTTAAAAAGAAAGGAACTACTTTTTTCAATAAAGAGACACTGCTCTAGAAAGGCCTAGCCTAGAATGACATTTGCTCCAATTGCCTCAAGTAGCATTTTTTTTAAGTTGTAAGGAAAAACAGTCCCACAGCTGCCTCCAAAGTAAAGTGAAGAGTTTGCCCTCAACTCTCTCCCCCTCCTATTTGTTCCCCTATTCTAAGCAGAACATCAAGGGGGGGGGGAGGGAATCTCAGCCCCACAGCCAGTAAGATTTTAGCATCCCTGGTTGATATGCTTAGAAGCCTATTTCAGCATTAAGTGGCATGTAAATTAATTAAATAATCAACAACATTTGGGGTGTTGTGTGATGCTGGAGTCTTCTATTTTAGGTATGGTTGAGATTATTATATTATTTTTTAATTTTTTATACTTCATCTGGAGTTCACAGGTGGTTCACAACTAAAAATACAAAATGGAATCACAAAATACATAATAAAACAAAACAAACCAATAACCTCCTTCCCAAAGTCACATTTAAAAGGTCATAGAATGTTAAATCAGCCCAACACCTGTTTGAAGGGAAACATGTTTGCCTGGTACCTAAAGACAGGCATTCCACAAACGGGGAGCCACCACAGAAAAGGCCTGTTGCCAACCTGCCAACCTTCGGACCTCCTGAGGGGGAGGCACCCAAAGAAGAGCCTCAGGTGAGAAATGATGGAAATGTTTTGCCTAACATAGGAAGATACTATCCCTTCCCTTCTGGGAGAGCAAGGAAAATTAACGATTGCGCAACACAGGGCAATATGTGTTAGGTTCTTTTCTGTAGAGAATGTTTAAAAAGCTTGCCTAAAGTCAATCAAGCCATCTGTGGCACAGGCTGGAATTGAAGTGGGCGAGGCTGTGTTTCCAACCCAGAATCTTAAAATTATTCAGAGTCCTAACTAGTCAACCTAACTAGTAGCCATTCTTCAGGATGGAGACGGCATACAGAATCTGCATTTGAAGAAATATTCCAGTGGTAGAAAACAAATGAGGGTTAAGATTCAGAAATTATTAATAATAATAAATAGGTCTAAATCAGGATAATATTATATTTGGGGAAACATAGTTCTCCAACTCAATTTTGCAGTGGAAATCTTCCCAACCAATTTTCCCAAAAGAAATTCTCTCTTTTGTTTCATACCAGGCTGCCATGGCGTTCTTAGCCACAACTCGCCCACTGCAGGTGTGTTTGATTTTTGTTGATACATTCATTGGACTTATGATGTAATAGCTAGATACGAGGGGAAATTGGCCGTTATTGACTGAAAATCTGACACAACTTTGGAATTTCATTTAACTGTGCTCTTCTCAATTGAAATGTGCAAAGATTTTCAGATTCTAAGTAAGTGTGGACTATAGGGACATCTACTGGCGTGTTCTACACATTTCTTACTATCCTCACAGAAAAAAAACCAGTTTTGTGGCATTCTACTGACTGGTACATGTTCAGATGGAGAATGTAAAACAGAGCTCTGGCTGAGCAGTGTTCAAATGGTTGAATTGGCAATTGATCAGTTTAAGGTGGAAATCAGAAGCTATGAAGGCTATTTTGCTACATTTGATCTGATACATCAGTTGTGGCCCACTAGCGACAAGGGAGGCTTCCTAAGATTTGGAGACTTTTCCTTTTACTTCTTGTTTATTTAGAAGAAAATATAAATCACTTAATAAAATATGAACTCTAAGCAGTGTACATAAAACTGAGAGGCTGCAACCGAGACTCTGACACAATCAGCCTGACCTATTTGCTAAAATTACAATAAAAAATAACCTCTCCCTGTTTACAGACATACAAGGCAGGTGCTCATCCTTGATCACTGCTTATAACACATGAGGAAGTGGATGACGTGCATTACTTTTTACCAAGTTAATGCAGCATATGGGTAAATGATCAGTAGTTGGTCTGGATGCTCCTCAGATTCCTTCCATGTGAGCAATTTTACTTTAGAAATTCCCAGTTTGAAAACAAACAAAACCTGAAGATAATCCACTTATGGTAGGAACAAGAATATGCAGAAAACATTGCATTTTTATGACAAGTACAAATTAATAGAGATTAACAAGCTGTTGCTTCTTTGTGTTCCTCTATTATTTCCCTGTGTTGTCTTTGGCTGCGAAACTGCCATTTCTTCCCTGCCAGTAGTTTTTTAAAAACTCTAAACTTGGTTCACCAACAACTACAGTACTTGCTATATAGAAGCTAGTGTTAAAGTGATAAATAATCTTCCCACTCACTTCTGTGTTACAAATCACATTAATATCTTGCTTTTGATAACAAATTACTTCCAAGTGAGACTATCAAAAAATGGCAGGGGAAAAGAATTAATATGCTTATCAACTACTACAATAGTTCAGCTATCACTTAGATAATTAATACTTACCTGAGTAATGATGGTGCAGATCTTGAGTCTTTAAGGAGGATGAGATTTCTAACAACAACAACAGGTTTTTGTTTCAACCAAAGCAAGCAGAGATAAATGAAAATAATATGACTGGCTTAGCATTCTATGGAAGGGAATTATTTTAAATGTGTTATAAAGTACAAAATGTAGCCTGTGTAAACTGTCAATAAAACAACACATAATTATGCTGGAGAACACAGAATGACAGGCAATAGTCAACTCAAGGACACTCAGCTTCTCCAAAGCTGAAGAGCTGGAAATGGCACTTTAGGGACGATAAAAACCCCTTTACTGTCCACTGTGCTTCATGGGATCCCAAAGGTCTGATCTCCTCAATTCCATCCTCAGTCATCATGCATTCCATTAACTACACGATGACAATAACGTTATAGTAATACTGCTTCATTAACTCATAACATCTAAGATGTTGTAAAATTTAAAACAGACAAATAATAAAGAAGCAAAACTAATATAAAGAGACATTTATAAAATGGTCTAGATTCTATAATGTACAAAGCAAACTCTGATCTTACTTGAACAGGTAAAGGTAAGGGGACCCCTGACCATTAGGTCCAGTCATGACTGACTCTGGGGTTGTGGCGCTCATCTCACTTTATTGGCCGAGGGAGCTGGTGTACAGCATGACTAAGCCGCTTCTGGCGAACCAGAGCAGCGCATGGAAATGCCGTTTACCTTCCCGCTGGAGCGGTACCTATTTATCTACTTGCACTTTGACGTGCTTTCGAACTGCTAGGTTGGCAGGAGCTGGAACCAAGCAACGGGAGCTCACCCCGTCGCGGGGATTCAAACCACCAACCTTCTGATCGGCAAGTCCTAGGCTCTGTGGTTTAACCCACAGTGCCACCCGTGTACCATAATCTTACTTGAAACAGAGGCTCAATTCAAACATCATCAGTGGCAGAGCATGGTTTGGAATGCCTAACTATGGTTAGGTGTGATGCAGTTTGAACTGACAATACATGGTTAGCTTCTCTGACAAACCAGAATCAGACACATGGTGTGCAAACCATGGCTTGTGCTAACTATACTTTGGAGTGGTGTGTAAACTGACTTCATGTATGGTGGCACACAAGCAACTATATGCTATGCTTTGTGCATATATTTGTAAGCTTTTACCTTGGTTTGGGTTCTACTGTTGGCTCGTGTTAAGCTTGTGGTCTACTAAAACCCCTAGATCCTTTTCACATGTACTACTGGCAAGCCAGGTGTCCCTCATCTTATATTTGTGCATCTGGTTCTTCCTGCCTAAATGCATAACCTTACATTTGTCCCTATTGAAATTCATTTTGTTAGTTTGAGCACAGGTCTCCAATCTGTTAGGCTGATACATATGTGACCTTTCAGGTTTCACAGACATTCACCATCAGATGTCTAACAAAGCATGGCCTCATCTTTTCTAGGACTCCACTGAAGACAGTTTATCTGAAGCATTAACTTTAAAAAAGTCATAAGTGTATTTTCATTGCAGAAGTCTCCAAGTCAACCTCTGAATTATGTACCACAACTATAGGAAGGTCTAAAAATGGTGAGCTGATATTAATAGACTTTTGAAAAGATAAAGATATATTAATAGACTTTTGAAAAGGTCTATTCTAATTATACATTTTATAACTATGTAATTTACAAATAAGAAAAATGCTTACCAAGAGTTCCATCTGAACTACTCAACCTGTTCAAAAGAAAATACTGAAGTTAGTTTTATGTGCTTGAAAAAATATATATCCATATTAAGTATATAATAAATGCAGGAGGGAAAACAGTTTTTCATCTTTACACATAATGATAACAAAAAACTTATGTGCAGTACCACATGTAGAAACAAATAATGCTACAGACATTGGAAGGGAACATAAAATTATGCCCACGTTAAAAAGATGTGCAGGACAATATGGGGCTGTTAGAATTGTTCATCTTGGGAAGTACTGACACTTGATTGGCGGCCCCAGGCACACAGGCCAGGAAGCCTCTGGCAACCTAAAACAGCCGTTAGACTGTCCTCAATACAGCCAGAATGACTGCCTTCTCTGTGGTGACATGAAGGTAGTGTCTATGTTGATGGGACAGCTGAGCAAAGACTGTCCTCAGAGAAAATATCTGAAGGTTGGAGAGAAGAATGTGAAATACCCAGCACTGGCAGAAACACACAAAATACTACTAACACCTCTACACATGAAACTTGGAAAAAAAACCATAAAAGCCATGGACTGGACTGGACTGGATCACCTTTCAAGTACCTGGCTGCAAAATTCCCTCAGCTCAGTGAAGTGAAAATTAAAGAGGGCTTTTTTTTGTGGGTCCTCAGATCTGTGTGGTGTAGTGGAGATTGTGAGCCGCTTTGAGACTCCTTAGGGGAGTGATAAAGCGGGATATCAAATCCAAACTCCTCCTCTTCTTCTTCAAAGACAGTATGTTTTACAACCTGCTTCAGGGTGACAGGAAAAAAGCCTGGGATGTGTTTTGTCTGGTGTTAACTAACTTCCTCTGGAATGTCAGGACAGAAAACTGCAACAAACTGGTTGAGAACATGTTGTCTCTGTATTATAAACTTGGCTGCTATATGTCCTTAAAGATCTACTTTTTCCATTCCCAGTTGCATTTATTCCCTGGCAACTACAGGTATGGTAAGTCATGAACATGGTGAACATTTTCATCAGGAAATTGCAACAATGGAGAAACAATACCAGGGAAAGTGGTCTGTTTCCATGTTGGCTGACTACTGTTGGACGTTTGCCAGAGATGATCCTGAGGAACAGGCAGAGTGGCATCAGACATAGAACCTGGCTCTCACTGGTCCTTGTTGTATGTACATATTCCTTGATTATGTAATAAACTATTGCAGATCTCTAAGAAACAGTAGCCAATTTTGCATTTTCATTGTCATATTCGGGTTCAGCTCCTCAACTCATCTACAAGAAACAGCTACTTTTATCTCAGAGGTGTTACTTTTGTCAAAATTTGTTGTGCAGTGATATTAGCAATGTTGCATATCCAAAGTGAACCAAGGAAGACAGATGTACCTGGTGATACAAACAGGACTACTTACGAATGGCTCCGGCTCAAATTATTCTTCCTATTTTTCCTAGTCCAAGTCATGCTGTTATTTAAATCCTGAAAGGGAAGGGAAATGGCAAACACATTTTCTCAATTGAAACATGTCCTGATTTCATGGCTACTTGGGCATGTTGTCCTCAAGTCTGTAGCCATGTTTATCCAGAAATCATAATCATTTTATCTGTATGTCACCTTTCCACTGTTAAAATTATGCTCAAGGCGGCTTACTACATAAAAATATTTACATAATTACAAATGTAAAACAGGTAGTCATAAAAAATAAATAAAACACATCAAAAAGTACACAACCAAATTGAACTATTTCCACTTAGATCATAAGATCTAAAAATAAAGATACAAAAAAATAGCATCAACAACAGTAGGAATACCGCAGCCCATGGATGTAGCCAGGAATTATGTTTGGGGAGCAGGATTTATGTTAGGTATGGCAGACCCAAGCTATCTGTGACACAGTTGGTCAATTAGTGAAGTATTTATATTTGTTCACTTGATTTAGGGGCAGGCAGCTGACCCACTGACCTCTCCTGGCTATGCCCATGCCCCAGCCAAATATTCTGTTTAGCCTCAGCTTCTGCCATTGCCATCAGCCAGGGCCCTGACCTCCCAGGCCAGGTGGAAAAGACCTGCAAGGCAAGGAACCACCAAGATGGCAATGTTTGACCTAAGCTGGGAGGTTACTCTGCTTTGGTGCAGTATGTTTATAAAGACTTTTCTGGTATCAAGAGAAGCAGTTAAAATGCCCTACCAATTCTATTCCCAAGTCTGTTTTGATCAGCAAGATAGTCTACTTAAGTCAATGGCAAAAACATCATCGACTTGAATTGCCCTTGACATTCTGGTTTTCACTACTTTAGTTTTCATAAATTAGTTCAAATGGAAAGGGAAAAAATCTAAAGGTAAATGCATAATCCAAAATACAAATAGCAGGATGAGTTTAATCCCCAAATTGCAAGGAATAATTATATCACGAAAGAGCTAAGAAGTTTGCTTAGTATCGTTCTTCAATAGAGCCGACCCCACTCACTCTATTTTCTTAATGGCCTAGAGAATTACCATATAAAACCTTGGTTTCAAAAAAAGTATCTTCTTCATATAGACTCCCATTTCATGATTCAATAGTTTAATGGCTTTTTTATTAATCTTTTCTGAAGGTTAAGTGGTTAATTACTTATTTCTTACCCAGAGTCTACTGTGCCTGCTGCATAAAATGAAATTTCTCAAGAAAAGTTTCTTCCTAGTGCTCGGCCGTGAATTCAGACCAAGATATAGCACAAGAATCCGTGGGTTGGGCATAGATTTATAGAAGGTAAAGAGCTGACTAGCAATATTTTATGTCTTCAAGCCTTACCTCTTGTGATTGCCTCAGGTAGTCACAAATCTGTACCGTGTGTCTTGCCGTTTCTTGGTTTTTCATTCTCTGGCGCAGACAACTGATACGGTCCAAGCCTAGCCAAGTAAGCAAACACAGCAAGAGCACATGTGAACTTTTTTTAAAAGACAGACAAATGCAAGCATGTGTGCATGAATAGCCCGGTCTGAACAGGATGTTCTGTGCCTCTGAGAAATGTGCAGGCTACTGCAATATGGAAACACTGCATTTCTTATGGGCTGCTTGAGCCTTTGCAACCTGGTGCATTGCTTCTCACCCATAGATGCCATCTCTTAGGGGCCAAGGTCCCTTCGCTGCTGCCACCCCCACAAATAAAAGTTGATGAGAGGCTTAGTTGTTGCCCCCAATATTTGCCCCAATCACCGCAGCAGACAGTGGGCAAGAGGAGGAGAAGGAGAAGTCCCTTCCCATGTCTTCTCCCAATGGTATGCTGTCACCACAGCACAGGCACCTACTGTGACATTGAAGGGAATAGGAAACAAGGAGAGGGAATTTGAGCAGCCCATGGACCACATTCAGATCAGCTTGGCAATGAGGTGAGTAGAAGAGTTTGGATTTGATATCCCGCTTTATCACTACCCGAAGGAGTCTCAAAGCAGCTAACATTCTCCTTTCCCTTCCTCCCCCACAACAAACACTCTGTGAGGTGAGTGGGGCTGAGAGACTTCAGAGAAGTGTGACTGGCCCAAGGTCACCCAGCAGCTGCATGTGGAGGAGCGGAGACGCGAACCCGGTTCCCCAGATTACGAGTCTACCACTCTTAACCACTACACCACACTGGCTCTCATCACACTGGCATTTTCCATTTTGGGAGGAAGCTTATTCTGGAGACACTCCAATGCAAGGTGGGAAGGTCATTGTCCATCACAACTTTCCTGTTCAGAATCTATGGAAAGTTTCCAGCAGATCTGCAAAATCAAGTTGTATGCAAGCTCTTGATGCTATCGTGCCCTCTGAAGCAATAGAATTGGAATCATACCCTGTCACCTCACCCAGGTCAGTATTTCAAATGTAGTGTTGATGCTCAGGGAGTAGAAATAAAACAACTTCCTATTCATTAAGGTAATTACTGTGCCACAAATGGAGTATAATACATAGGCAATCAAAACAAAACACATTTTCTACCAGTATGTATTGAGGGATATCATTAACTTTGCAAAAGAGAAGTATGTACTATACTGTTCCCAGGTTTCCTATTTTCTTGGAAGCTGACCTGTAATCTGTCACTGATTAGTCTATAAGTGTGAGAGGGAGGTTTGGGGAAGGGTCAGGTAGATTTGGTGACACGGGTGGCGCTGTGGGTTAAACCACAGAGCCTAGGACTTGCCGATCAGAAGGTCAGCTGTTTGAATCCCCATGACAGGGTGAGCTCCCGTTGCTCGGTCCCTGCTTCTGCCAACCTAGCAGTTTGAAAGCACGTCAAAGTACAAGTAGATAGAAGGTAAACGGCGTTTCCGTGCGCTGCTCTGGTTTGCCAGAAGCAGCTTAGTCCTGCTGGCCACATGACCTGGAAGCTGTATGTCAGCTCCCTCAGCCAATAAAGTGAGATGAGCACCGCAACCCCAGAGTCGTCCGTGACTGGGACCTGATGGTCAGGGGTCCCTTTACCTTTATTTGGCTCCTCTCACCTGTCTCAATGGTTTTTCAACCTTGCAGCTTGCTGGTATAAGCTAAACTGAAGGGCTCTTGGCTTGAGACAAACAACCAATAAACTAACAGAAAAGTGTGAAATTTCTGGAAGTCAGTCCAGACCCAGATGATACAGCAGGAGAGATACTTCACGAGAAATTTAATAGCCTATCCCCACAATTTGTTCTCTTAAGAAGGCTATTGTGGGTGGTATTTATGGGTCCTGGCTGCCACCAAACGTTTCAAATTCTACCTATCATTATTTGCTTTGGATTACATACTTAGCTGATTAAAGTGAGGTGAAGATATCTCATTTGTTCTGTGTTCCCATTTGTCTCCCACAGGTCTGCTTTCAAGTGGCTCTGAACTAACTTGGGTGCTCTGGGGACAACCATCAACTGTAATCATCTGCCAAAAGAAAAGGAAAAACAGTAATCAGCCAAAGATGACAGGTAGTTGAGCTTAAGTTGCCAGTAGCATAATCCTTCCGAACCACTCTAGCAGGAAAGTCCCTTATACATAATGGGGAGGGCAGATCATTGTTTGCAAATCTTACATGAATAAAGCATTAGCAGTAACAAAGAGGAAGTACGTACAGCTATTCACTAACACTTGTCAGAAGTCATAGCCAAGATGTTTTTACTCAGAGTAAAAAGGGGACTGCTTGGACTGCTGGATTTCATTCAGAGCTACTTGCTTCCCCTCCCCCCCAATAATGTGAGCGTGAGCCAAGCAGTTTCCAAATATGCAATGATTAATCAGCCAGGCCAGTAACAGTTCTAATAATCACCTTGAAAGCAGAGCTGAGCTTTCATAACTGTGTGATTCTATATTTATTCAGCTTGTTAAAAAACAGAAAAAGGACATACAATTCTAATTCCACCTTCACCTACCGGCACCTGAAGAGTTTTCTGTTTCTTCCTCGACGATTTCCTTTCTTTGTTTCCAAGTTTTGCCTTTGCCAATACTGGCTGATGTGACTCTGCAGATTTGGATAGCTCTGAGAGTAAAAAGGCGGGGGGGGGAGGCAACTCAATTCATATTTCAAAGAAAACTCAATAAAGTTTCACACCTACCTGGTATTAAGTCTAAATGAACTAATTCATTTAGCGTAATATATTGTTTGCTTTGATAGTGCACTGGTGGAAATTGAAACTAATGCAAAGAATTCTGGACACTTTCCTCTGTTACACTGCCTCCCCTTCCCCTTAGACTACATGTTTGCAGCCATCACATTGCGGTCAATATTTATCATTTATGTTGTGCTTGCAAAATGTAAGCCTATGGTTATTTACTCAGAGAGAAGTCCTACACTGTTCAATTGACATTACTCTCAGGTAAGTAATGCCTGCAGATTGCATTTTATTTTTAATGTGGCATTTTACTGCATTTTTACTGCATTTTATGACATTGTCATTTTAAACTGTTGCAAGCCACCCTGGTGGACTAGAAGTGTAGAAAAGAAATCTCAGTATATAGAAAATGATTAATGTTTATAGACTCATCTGCAGTCTTAGGGCTCATCCACCCTTACCTTTTGCCCCAAGCTTTCTAGGCTCATGTTTTAAAGCTCAGTGTCTGAGTGCTCCCCCCCACCCCCCCGCTACAGTCCTCAGGAAAACCTGCTCTTAATGCAAAATTGGAACAAACAACAATTAGGGTTTTCTGCAGATTGATGTTTGCTCCAATTCAGTGGTAAAGAGAGGGTTTTCGCAAGGAAAGCGTCTGGGCAAAAAAATTAAAAAGTGCTCAGACACTGAGTTTTAAAGCAGCAGAAGAAGAGTTTGGATTTGATATCCCGCTTTATCACTACCCAAAGGAGTCTCAAAGCAGCTAACATTCTCCTTTCCCTTCCTCCCCCATAACAAACACTCTGTGAGGTGAGTGAGGCTGAGAGACTTCAGAGAAGTGTGACTGGCCCAAGGTCACCCAGCAGCTGCATGTGGAGGAGCAGGGAATCAAACCCGGTTCACCAGATTGCAAGACTACCGCTCTGGATGAGGCCTTAATGCACAGCACTAATTACAATCATTACTTTGTTCCAGTCACCACAACTCTAAGATGCAGGTTGCTGTAACACACAATTAGAAATTCCATGAATGCCTTCTCGTCTACTTTTGCCCTTTCTCTTATTTACAAATAGAGAACTGCGAATCTAGTGTAGTCACTTGCCCAGATCAAACAAGTTCATGACAGATCACATTCAGGATACAGGTTTGGAGTTTTGTTTTGTAAGGTTTAAATTTTTGATCAGATATATCGATTAAATTTTTGATTACTTTATGAGGCCCAGTTCTAATTAGTGAAAGGAAATGTAAAATATGAGGCTAAAAATCAACAGCACACTCTTTATTGAGTGTGCATTGGCTATGGTGTGTCATGGCAAGAGAGTATGTGAAAGCTGATTTTTCTTCTAATAATGTGATAAGTGTTCTTTATTAAATTATGAATGCTCATGTTTCTATACTTTTAAAAAAGGAAGGTTTTTATAATGTGCTAATGTAGGTAAATATAATCTACTGATTACTTGATTGATCTTTAAAATCATTTATTAGTCAACAGCTCCATCTGATGCTGTTTGATAGTAAGCATATATCCTTTATTTCTGAGAAGTGGATGGAAAAGGCAGCAGATCTAGGGTAGTCCAATACTGAAGCAGAGGACAACCACCATCCCACAGCTATCACTCAACAATGACCCCTAAACAGCTGGGAAGAGCTTGTAACTTCTTTGTGGAAAGTGGTTTAAAGCAATATAACATTTATTTGTTTACTCAAAACATTTATATATTGTCTTTCATAATAGTGTTCAAGGTATGCTTTTAAAAATCCTTATTAAAAACAAAGCAAAACAGGAGACCACCAGAAGATTAATGCATAAGAACAGCAGTAAAATCAATCAAACAGCAATAACAATGTGTAGCCATTACCTTTTATTCTGAAGGTCTTTCCCACTTTCTCTGCTTTGCGGGACCAGAATCCACTTCCCTTGCCGAAAGGCCAGTTTTTCCTGCGTGGATTGATCCAGACTGACATGCTGCGCTGGAATGGGAGAGGAGACTGGGAGCTGTCACTACTGTAGCCTGATCTGTCAGAAACGCAGGAAAACGATTTGGATTCATGTATCTGTGCATGTTGAGGATTACGGCAGCCTTTATTGGAGGTAAAATGTGTGCATGACAACTGCCTTGACTTGTTGCTAAAATAACTCTTTTCATCATCTCCCAAGAACCCCCAGTTCACATAACCTCCTTCAGGTTCCTCACTGTGTTGATGAGCACGGATAGAGACCTCACGGGCAATTCTAGGTTCTTGGAAGTTCAAATAGGGTTCAGTGATATTTTCACTATCCTCTTTGTCTGATGAAAATTCCAGTTCCCATTTTTCATTGATAACTGGATTTCTTTCTGGAGCCTTGTGCACATCCAGCTGAGCAGTGATGCTGCCATGCTTGGTTTGGGGTTGAGCTTGCAGTTCATCTTCTCTGAGCAGACTACTTGAGAAGGCTGAACTTAAGGTGGCATTTTCAGATAAAGAGGCTCCTTGCTGACCAGAAGGAACCAGAAGGAATTGTCCATATCTAGGGGCTGATTTACACTCTGACGATACCCCAGAGGTCAGTGTGTCGTTTTCAATTTCTTGCTCCTGGTGTTTGCTTATTGATTTGATCTCTTTGTAGTCCAGGGCACCAAGAATGCCACGACGAGCCCCCGGGGGCCAATGTGTCCTGGCCAAGCTTTTCTGAAGAGAAGGTGGCATGCTGTAGTAATTATACTTCTTATCACACACACTTTCCATACTGCCCAAAGCCTTAGAGCACATGGAATTGCTCCAGCTATGGGGAAGCTTCCTGTAGGTTTGATGCTTCTTGTGAGCAAGAAGGGCCTCCTCTACTTGCAAAGTGTCCACAGCTGAAATGACTTTAAGCGTATCGACGGTTAAAGCAGAGAGGTCTTGTAAGTGTCCGAGCTGGCTATCCAGGGCAAGCAAAGCGTCTTTGACATAAAATACTTTCTCATGTACCTCCTTCAGTTGTGAAAACATCTCTTCCACTCTAAGAGGAAATAATAGATGTATTAAAAACTGCATTATATATATTCTTCAGTATATCAGTTAAATTAATAACATTTCATTTTTCAAATAGTGAATGGAACCATTGTTCTAGTATTGGCTAAAGAGGCCCTGTATAGCTCAGGATCAGATTCCCTGAGAGAACCCAAGAGCCTGTTGGATCTGGCCAAATCCTTCTGCCATGTACTATGACCTGAACGCATCTGGCTCAAAGTGGTGTGGAGAATTGCTTTCTCCATGGTGGCTCCCATCCTGTGGAGAGATTTCCTGTTGGAAATCAGGCAAACACCAACTGTGGGATGCTTCTGCTGGCTGTTAAAAAATTATTTATTTATCTGGATGTTTCATAACAATTAATGTTGGCTCCCAGCATTTCCTGGCTACTGTAATTGAGTTTGATGTTTCTGCTTCATTGGCATGGTTTCTATTGTTGTATTTTGTTGTTGCCTTATTGTCTTGTGAACTGCCTTGGTGTTTCTTTTGAAATGAAAGTTAGTATATAAATTTCAAATAAATATGATACTAATGTGACGAAGCAATCAATAATTTAATTGTAGAATTAATATACCCTTCTCCCGAGAACTAGAGTGTGCTACAGAATAACAAATTATGTTGCATACTTTCATAAAAATTTGATACCTGATAACTATAAAGAAACTATAAGTCCAACTCTACAATTCTATGATTCTAAGTGGAAACTGGTAGCTATGTTTGAAATGAGTGTGTAAAATGTTGCCTGAAGTATTGCTCTTTTGTAATTGAAAAATCTTCAAATCTGCAAGTGTTGCTGAATGTAAAAAGCAATAATATATTAGGGAGAAAAAGATTTTCTATTTGCTAGCCTCTTTTAATTTTTCTCATGGTTTCTATACCCAAAAAACCCACTTATAGTGGATTTCAAGTCTACCAAATCTATTTCACTTCTCAAAATGTCTTTCAACAAGATCCATTTAGATTATGACAGGGCCCATAATGGAGTTGTATAAACCCTTGTCTTGTCTGTTAGCTTATTTTAGCTAAATAACTTCAGGTAATCTTTCTAAGCCTTCACCTAAAAAAAACTGCTTAAGTTTTGCTACTATTTGGAAATAGGATCTTGTTGAAAGACATTTTGAGAAGTGAAATAGATTTGGTAGACTTGAAATCCACTATAAGTGGGGGTTTTTTGGGTATAGAAACCATGAGAAAAATTAAAAGAGGCTAGCAAATAGAAATGAGGGACGCGGGTGGCGCTGTGGGTAAAAGCCTCAGTGCCTAGGGCTTGCCGATCGAAAGGTCGGCGGTTCAAATCCCCGCGGCGGGGTGCGCTCCTGTCACTCGGTCCCAGCGCCTGCCAACCTAGCAGTTCGAAAGCACCCCCAGGTGCAAGTAGATAAATAGGGACCGCTTACTGGCGGGAAGGTAAACGGCGTTCTGTGTGCTGCGCTGGCTCGTCAGATGCAGTTTGTCACGCTGGCCACGTGACCCGGAAATGTCTTCGGACAGCGCTGGCCCCTGGCCTATAGAGTGAGATGGGCGCACAACCCTAGAGTCTGTCAAGACTGGCCCGTACGGGCAGGGGTACCTTTACCTTTACCTTAGCAAATAGAAAATCTTTTTCTCCCTAATATATTATTGCTTTTTACATTCAGCAACACTTGAATGTAAACACTTGAATCAGTAGAAGGTGGTACTCCATGTGGCCTTAAACAATGAAAAGCATTGCTGGATTTAACATACTAAGGGAACTCAAAGAGTTTAGCTGCAGTTTGGCTGACATTCAATACAAAAGTCCATATGCACAACCCCACTTTTTCTCAGGATATTAGCTATACCTTTCTGAACATATCTGATTCTGCATAGACAACAAGAATTACATGAACCTGTGTACTTAGGACTGCGGTCCTGCACTCCAGCTTGTTTTTGTACTATCTTCTATGAATTGCAGTACAACTAACATTGTCAGGGGAAAAGTTATCTTACCTTTCAGTTGTCACACGAATCCTTTCACTGTCACTGGAATGCAAGCTTCCATTCTTCTCATGCAGGTACTTTTCCACACACTGCTCTTCAAAATCATGAAGTTTTTTCAATTCCTCATCACTCAGATACAGCTCTGGATAATGTAAGAAGAAAGTTTAAACACAGTGACGTAAGCATGTCACTTGCAAAGGGCTGGCTGGAAATATTTTTCTGTCTAAGGTGAAATGCAAGGTGCCCACCCCATGTACAGAAGCCGATTGGAGAGCAGCTGGATCTTATTTTAACACCAGAGATGTTGTCCCTCCTGTCCACCTAGAATCTACTGCCTGAGGCAGTTACCTCACTCTGCCTAACGCACTTCCAATGGCATGAATCTCCAAAGAATATTAGACAGTAGGTGTGAAATGCAGTGCAACCAAGTTTGAGACCAGGACATGTGGCGCCACAGTATGTCACAGGTAAACAAATTCACCATTGAGGGGACAACTTTGATGTGGCACTTGAAAGGGCAAAATTAATCACTCGACCAGGTAAGAGTTTTCAGGCAATTTTGTACACATTGAGACTCTATTCACAGCTTCACATAAACATATGGACATTGGCAGCAGGGGCAGCAGGTACAATTCCCAGCTCTTTCCTCCTCAAAGGACACATTCCTTGAATATCTGCCCGGGGCTCCAGCAAACCACTTTTGAAACTAAGGAAACTTCAGAATACAATTTGAGACAGGGCACGGACTGTGCAAAGAAGAAAAATTTAAAATATCCTATTTGGTGCACCTAGTTGGATCCTTGCCCATAGAATCTAGTTGTATTAATTTTGTTCTACAGCACTAATTCCTGTTTTGTTTGTTCCTTCAGCCCCAACCCAAAATGAGAATTTCACATTTCAATTTCATTTCCATTTCTTGCTTTTTGGTTTCGTGAACTATACCATGAATAACTACAATGCATCCAGAAAGCACCTTCCTCACAATTTCCAAACTGTTCCTATGTTGAAAATACCAGTGGCAACTGCATAAGTGAGACTGACAAATAAACGTTGAAATCAGGTATGTATTTGTAATAGAGTGCATGCTTCCCAAACATGGCTTTCAATCTACTTTGGAACTGTACCATGATTTGTTGAGGAATGATCAAGTCACTACAGCTAAGTTTTGGCAGTCAGATTCCACTGGATGGTGCTGTTTTCCTATGTCTTAGTTGTTATATGGTTCCAGAAAACATATTAAGGAGCAATGCACCTGCCACTGAAATGGAAACAGCTCCGAGGTGCAAATATTGTGTAACTGCTCTAAGTACATGGAACAGTCCTTATGTTTATGATGAACAGAAACAAAGTTAAGGTCCCATGGAAAGTTAAGGTCTATGGATTTACTGAATATAAGGAGCACCAGAAAGAACAGGCTCTGCTTACTCAGTTCAACATGCCCCTCTTCTTGGTCCAGCTCATTTGGCAGCCGGCGATGGCAAAGGCAATTTATGAGGATGCCAATATGGCTCAGTATGATAAAAGGCGGTGGTAGCCATGGCTTTTCATGATACATCATGATGTACCGATACCGGTTGTATTTCCAGAGTTTGTTCGATATGGACTTCATATCAAAATAAACATTACTGTGGATGCAGAGGAAAAGGGAAAGAGAGAGATCCATAGGACTTTTTTAAAAAAACAATGTTAAAATATGTAGTACAATATATAAATTAAGATAACGAACAAAAGGTAATTATATTAATCAAGCAAAATATAGAGACCAGAGTTGCCCAAAGAGTGAGCTGACAAAACTTGCTGTGGGATCTAGACACATAACGCTTACTAATAATGGCAATACTGATTCGGTTTATTAAGCTTTTTACTGACAAAAATATCGTATTTTTCCATCTATAAGATGCCCCCATGTATAAGACGACCCCTATTTTGGGGGACTCAGATTTAAGAAAATGGGGGGAGATGTAGCCATGTATAAGATGCCCAGTAATTTTTGACATTATTTTTAGGGGGGGAAACCTAGTCTTATACACAGACAAATACGGTAATTTTTAAAATAAACATATTCAAACAGACAACATCAAAGCAGTTACTTATGACTTGTTCCTTTGAATTGCTCAGCTGCAACAGAAGCTCATACAACTGAGAGGATTAAAAAAATGTGTCTGACATACAGGGAAATGCCAACATACCAAATATATGTCTTTTCATTCTTCACTTTAGCTCACGGGTCTTACAAAATCATTCAGCACATTTGGAATTTTGAGAGGGTGCTGTGGGTCCACTCTGGTTACCTCTTCCACCACCCTCTCCCAGATTTCTTCTCCACCACCACCAGATAAAAAAGAAGTGTGTGTGTGTGTGTGTGTGTGTGTGTGTGTGTCCATGGCTCTGGATGAAAGTGGGGTCCAGAAGAATTAAAATGGGTCTTCATGAATTTGTATGATTTTACACAGCCCCCCCCAAACCTATCAAATTAAAGATTACAGTGGTAGACCATGCAAGTTAAATAACAGATCCTGAGTTTGCCAGCACCACAAAAATATTGATCCACGGTGTACAGCTTCATAGTTTTTTACACAGGAAGACCACAAGGGAGGGGCCATGGAAGCATTGCAGACATGAGGCTAAGTCTTTAAGACAGAGGATTTCAACCTTTTTGAGTCCAAGGCTTCCTTGACCAACTATATTCTTTCTGTGACTCCCCTGTGGGACTTAGGAGCCCAGTTATGTTTCCCCCCCCCCTTGCCTGCAGAGCTGGCAGCCTCTCACTCTTTTTCGAACACCCTTCTTTGTGGCATGTTCCCTCAGCCTTCTATCCTCTCCCATGTCCTTGAGTGTCCTCTGGGCAGCTGCTGCTGCTGCCCCTGGTCTCTGAGCTGCCCTCTGCCCCAAAGAGAGGTGCCTCTTCACACTGCCCCACAGGGATCTGGGCAGAGGATGCCCCCCACCTTAGTGGCCCAATGGAGATTGGCGAAAGGTGAACCTGAGGCCAGCACCTTACCTTGGGAGGTCGTAGTGGCAGCAGCAGGGCTGCTGCAACGAACAGCTGTGGAAACCTTTGGGAGGCAGAGATGTGAGAGGGCATTCAAGGAAAGAGGGGGAGAGGCCAGGGATGCCTGCGGCACCCTGGCCAACATTCAATGCACCCCAGGGTGCCATGGCATACTGGTTGAAAACCACTGCATTAAGGGGCACCACAGTGTCTGCAGATAATGTTGGCAATCTTAGCACTAACAAATTTAGTGGTGGTTGTTAACTTGTATAAAAGTTTCCCTTTGTCCACAGGCAGCTGAAAATGAAGCTTAAAGTTATGTAATCTACTAAAGATGAGCAGAAAGTAAACCACTCCGCTCATTTATCATGGAAGTCCAGACTGCTGCTTCTCCTCTCTTACTCCTTTTGGTGGAGCCCTAGGCAGGCTGGGTCCACTTAATGTAGAAACAGCACCAATAAACCCAACAGGAAATATGACAGGCACTTACTTGAAGAAAGCAATCAGCAGATTGACCATGATGATGTACTGTACAAAGAGATAGACAGCTTGAAGGAATGGCGTGAGGAAGGAACCAGGAGGACAGTTGGGGTCTGCTTCACAGGCTGTAAATGATAAAGGAAAGCTTCTGTATGCAACTCTAGCATAGGAATGGTCAGCTAATTAATGATAGATTTCTCATTCATAGGCCAAGAAGGCTTCTTCTTTCCCCCCAACCAAGGGTATTGGGCCATGGCATGCTTTTGTGACCCAGGAAGTGGAAGAAGAGGATGACACCTGGCAGCCACTCCCAGTCACCAGTCTAGCTGCTGCATTCTGGATTAGTTGTAGTTTCTGGGTCACCTTCAAAGGTAGCCCCCTATAGAGCGCATTGCAGTAGTCCAAGCGAGAGATAACTAGAGCATGCACCACTCTGGTGAAACAGTCCGTGGGCAGGGAGGGTCTCATCCTGTGTACCAGATGGAGCTGGTAAACAGCTGCCCTGGACACAGAATTGACCTGCGCCTCCATGAACAGCTGTGAGTCCAAAATGACTCCCAGGCTGCACATCTGGTCCTTCAGGGACACAATTACCACATTCAGGACCAGGGAGTCCTCCACACCAGCCCGCCCCAAGAACAGTACTTCTGTCTTGTCAGGATTCAACCTCAATCTGTTAGCCGCCATCCATCCTCCAACCGCCTCCAGGCCAGAGTAGCATGAAGCGCAAACTTCAAAAGAACTGTTGCGAATGCCAAAATATCACAGGAAAAATTTGAGAATTTGAGAACTGAACTGTAACCAAGACCTGCAGGTGAACTACAAATTGATATATGCTCACTTTTGCTTCTACAAAACTATGGCAATCAATCACTCAACTTTATATTCTAAGACATATGTGATACATTTTGTGCTGTTAAAGCAGGAAAAGAAGTAATATATAATTATATATCTATCTATATTATAATAATTATATATAATAAAGACTTTCTCCTGGAAAAATGATGTGGAATCTGGCTTTTCCCACAGCTGCAAAATTTCTGAAAATGCTACCTTTCCTAGTGGCTGTGTTAAGTGATAGGTGTGCTATATAATTGCTGACATTTTGTTGGATGCAGCATTTCAGTGAAATCAGACCTACCATCAATTTCCCCTGCATATACTTCACCAAACATCATCCAATAAGGCTGAAATACAATATCTCGTGCAAGGCTCCATGAAGGCTGCTCATGTGGAGAGAGTATTGCTTTTCGAGAAACTCCAAAACTTAACAATACTATGGCCATCATAATTACAATATAAAACATGTTTGCTGTCTGCACGAAAAAGAAAATGAAACACAGTGATCAAAGTGGTGATTTTGCAAGGTGAAAAAAAATTGTTTCCTGTGGCTACGGCACATTATTTTGTTATTTTAAACAACTTATGGAGAAACGCTGTATCAGTACTGCATCTTATTGGATGTATTGATGTTCAGTTATTCAGAATGGCAGCAGTCCTGTACTTACTTATGTACAAGTTCCTGTCAAGTCAATCAAATGCACTTAATCTAAAAGGGCAGCACCCAGAATACGGTAAGTATCTGGCGTAGTACAAAGAATAGCAAAAGGAATAGCAAAAGACTAGGGCTGGTGCTTTATGCAAGTCTTGCAGGCCAATGCCTTCATTCTAGAAATAGGGCTACTAAATAATTCAGATATATAGGAATTATTTTCCTCCTCTTATACTTCCAACAACACAGATAGGGCAAAGACAGGCATTGACCTAGTCTGCAAATGTGCATGCTCCCAGATAAGAAATCATGGCTCATTTGCTCCTTCCTCCATTCCCCCTGCAGTTGTGCTGCTGTAGGCGAAGCCATGAACCTAGGTTTGAATGTGTCTCACTCCAGGAAAACCACAACCTGTAGCCAAAGTTTGTTCTATGGCTTACCACTCGCAGTTTGTTGGGGGAGATAAACCACAAGTCTGGGTTTGGACAGGAGGCTAAGGACTGCATCCATGGTCTAGCTCACAGCAGCATGGTGACACGTTTGGCTTAGCATGTTGACTAGGCCAGTGTGTGATGGTGCTTTACATTTCTCTCTACTACATATATAACAGGCAAAATTTTCATAGGTGAAGATTCAAACTTCATTAGCTGAAATTCTGCCTCTCGTGTAGCTCTATAAGAAAAAGTGGTATCCTCATTTGGAGAAAGTGCTCTGTATCTAAATACTTACCATTTTCCCAATCATTGTCAGATATGGACCTGCACGCTGGTTCACAGCAAAGAAGTCAAGAAGCCGAGTATACCAGAATATTATATCCAGACAGTAAATTAACCTTCCTGCTGTGTGAAGGGGAGGATCTGCCCAGCGCAAGCCAAAACCAGTCATGAACAAGATAATGGCGATAGAATCTGTAAAGTTCCAGTACTCATAAATCCACACTTTCACCTTTTGGCTGAACTTTCCCGGCTCCGAAATAAATACCTAACAGAAAAATGGGAACATCCCTTGAATTTATATGAGGCATGTAAAGAACATGACGTATCTCTGCAGATGATCTTCCTACGTAAGTCAGAGGCCAGTGGGTCACCTTGGGCAAGCTGTCACCTTTCATCACCAGTTTCCTTGCCCTTAAAATAGTAATGTTAATGCCCTTTGTGATGCGGATGCAAATGAATCAGATAGAAATGATGGCATGTCTTACATATTAAATATTCTTTTCAAATGATTGGTTATTAACAAGAATATTCTCATGGACAAATGGTTTAGAAAGAAGCAAGAATGTATGCTTCACTTATTCTTCTCTTTTTAACTCCTTAATTATTCAAGGCAACAATTCCCTTATGTGCTCCTATCTGCTGCAAAGAGAAAGGAGACTGTCTCTACACTCATTCGCCCTTGTCAAGAAACCGTTTGGATTCTGTCCTTTCTTGTTTTTCTGTATATGCTTAGTAACTCTCTCTAACAATGTGTTTCACCGGTTTTTATGGAGCAGGCACTAAGCTAACTACTGGTAGTCTGCAATTCTCAGGATCCCCATTCTTGATCCCTTCTTAAAAATTGGTGTAACATGTTCCAGTCCTCAGATCAGAGGTTGATCTTAGGAACAAGTTAAAATTTTAGTCAGAAGAGGGCTGTTCAGGCACTAGGTTCAAAATAACCATTGGATTGTGTCCTATCATTTTTGTCTTGTTCCTGGATGTAGAATGGAATAGTATGATGCTATTGGAGCTCTGAGTGTGTTTCCATTTTTGTGATTTAAAAAAATACATCTAATTTTGTTGATGTAAGCCATTTTGGTGCATACATATTTAAAAATAAAATATAAGTAAATATTTGCAGGCCTGGGCACAGAGAAGCCGCAGGGAGCAGCCCAAGGCAGGGGGAAGTTGCAATAAACACGGGACAACCACTTGGGATTTAAGCAGGCCTCAACTTTATTGAGTAAAGATGTCAGCAGGTTTTGGTGCAGGCATTGGATGTGTATCCTGACTTAACCAACTCATCTGCTGGTTGATTATTTGGCATGGTTAACCAAGGTTAAGTATCACCCTATGACATAAATCAAATTGGGAGGACAGAAGCACCTTTCCTGGATCCCTTTAAGAGGATACCCTGATTCCTTGGACCGAGGGTGGGGTGAAGTGGGGGGCCTCCTGAACTGCCTTCCACCTAGACTAAAGATCCAACTTTATCCGCAATCAAGTTGAGACAATTGCTATGAGGAAGGCAAATTCCCCTGTGGTCCCAAATATGGCGACTGAAGACTTCCATAGCAAGGTCTTACGCAGGGCTTGCCCACTTCTCTTGGCCAGGCCTACACATAAAGCATCAGGTGAGTGGGAACTGAGGCTGAGGCCTGGGCATAGCTGCCAGGGAGAGAACCAGAGAGAAGTTTTCCCTCTGGTCTGCTCCCTGAACAGCACCCCCAGGCTCACCCACAATTGGCTGCAACCATGGGCAAGCCCCAACAGCCAGCAAAGCCGTTGGAGAAGTGATGCCCCTCCTCCCAGCAGGGTCAAAACCAGCAGATCACCCGGCTGCTGCTACCAGTGGACCACAAATACCACTCCCTGCAGCTGGCAGGTGAGCAGTTGTTTCCCACACACTGCTAAAAGACTTGGGCTGTTGTTTTCTTCTTCATGCTTTTTATCTGGTTTCAGAATATTTCATTCTTTTTCTGTTTAGAACACCATGTGATACCATCCTTGGTTTTCACCCTACACGTACTCCTGCCACTCATAATAACTAGATCAGGGACACACATTGGGAGTGTCCCGGGGGTCTGTGAAGAGTCAGGATGGTGGTAAGCAAGTATTTAATGGAGGTTTTTGAACATTGGGAGGAAGCTCGCTGGGTTGCCGAGTTCGGAAACTGGAAAAAGCTCTGCTTGGCTCCATGTTTCCATGACATATAAACAGCTGAGAAAGAGCAAGACTTGAGTTTTTATATTACAAAGTCACAACACAAGCCGCAATGTCACAGCTTCTTAAAGTTTGAAATGAAACACTGCATTGCTTCTCAAAGACTCTGCACCCTCAATACATCTCTATTCTTCCTTCTGAAATGTATTTCTGTTTGCTCATTATTTCACGGAGTGAGTGCAGGGGTACAATTGTTAGACGTATGTTGTTGTTCTTTAAAAGAAACAAATCAGAGGTTTGGTGAAATGGAAAGAAAGGGTTGTAAAATGACAATAAATATTGCATAAGCCCCAGGAGGCATGGAAAAAAGCAGAACAGCTTTTGTAAGTGAAGTAACAAATTAGTTTTACTTTGGTGCAAACAGAAAGAAACAAATCTTTGTCATTTATCAAGGACATGGCAGTCTTGAAAAGGCAAGTTTTCAAAATTAGGAAGGTGGAAAATGAGATGTTTATTTCTTGAACAACAAGGGTTTGCCAGAGGGCCTTTTCAGTTTTGCTAAGCAAATGGTGAAAAAGAGTCTTTGAATGGTTATAAACAAGATTCCTCACATTATATAGCAAAGTCCAATTACATACTGCTAAGATCAAACTGATAAGCAGCAAGTGAAAAGGTGATGTCAAAGTGTTAGCCAAACCTTAGAAAAAAGACATGTATAAATAACTTTATGTATATGAGTACCACTGAGCTGAATGATGTTATTAGCATGTGTAACAACATATTAGAGGAATGAAAGCCAAAGGGTGCAATTACCTGATACAATCTAAAGAAAAACGATTTCCAGCACTACACACAGCAAACCCCAGAGAAGTTAATGAAGCGTGTATGTAACACAGAGTCCTGCCCCATTTTATCCTGTGGACCACAACTACCACATAAGTGAAGCAATTGCTTCACGTAGGGGTAGCTGTCCTATAAAGACAAAAGGGGCAGCAACCCACCAGTGGCAGCCCCTCGCCCCTCTTTAACCCTAGGGCTTGAGCCCTCTCCCTCTCCTTGTCTTCCACATTACAGTCACTCAATCCCTGCATGGCATCTGCAGGAACTGTGGTCCAACCCTGCCCCATAACAAGGAGAGAGATAAATAGCTATTTTCAAATTGCAGAAAAGAACTGCAAACAAAATCCTAAAGATGTAATTTTATGCAAGTTTCCGCATTTAAATGTATATAATACATAAAAGGATTAAAAAAAGAAAGAAAAAGCTTTACACCCAAATCTTTTTTATCCCCTGTGTGTGTCATTCAAAAGTGGAAACTTAACTCCAGGCTCCTATTTTTGAAAACTACAGTTATTATTATGAAAAATGTACATTGATTCAAATTCATGGAGATTTCTTTTTTGTAGCTTACCCCATAGATAATTGCTTGTCTTAATTCCTATATTAGGCATGGAAAGCAGAAACATCAGAATGAAATAAAGGACCTACCTCTCTGACTTTCTCAATGGAGGTGGTGAAAATGTAAATGATCACAAGCCATTCTGGCACACTGGGTGTTGGTTCCATCTCCACCAAGACAGTGTAAGTGAACAGCATGAGAAATGCTAAATAGGCCATCTACAAAACACACAAACACAATGCGTAGTCCTTATAAACACACATTTGTGGCAAAAAAGAGGAAACTAATAGGTCACACAACACAATCCCCACCACCATTTGTGTAAGCTCTGCAGGGCGGGTGTGCATCATCCTCATTACCAATTTATAAACTGTTTCACAGCCTGAAGCCATCAAAGTGGTGTAAAAAAAGATAAAAGTAATAATAAAAATTCTAAAAACAATGACAATTAGTCTTACAAACTCTAAAAATAATAAAACCATCCCTACATTTGTACACTTAAAAGGGTAAAGGGACCCCTGACCATTAGGTCCAGTCGTGGCCGACTCTGGGGTTGCGGCGCTGATCTCACTTTATTGGCCGAGGGAGCCAGCGTACAGCTTCCAGGTCATGTGGCCAGCATGGCTAAGCCGCTTCTGGCAAACCAGAGCAGCGCATGGAAACGCCATTTACCTTCCCACCGGAGCCGTTTACCTTCCCACCGGAGCAGTACCTATTTATCTACTTGCACTTTGAGGTGCTTTAGAACTGCTAGGAGCTCACCCCATTGCGGAGATTCGAACCACTGACCTTCTGATCGGCAAGTCCTAGGCTCTGTGGTTTAACCCACAGCGCCACCCGCATCCCATTGTACACTTACTAATAGTGTGTATCTGAAGAAGTGTGCATGCACACGAAAGCTCATACCAAGAACTAACTTAGTTGGTCTTTAAGGTGCTACTGGAAGGAATTTTTTTTGTTTTGACTATGGCAGACCAACACGGCTACCTATCTATTTCATAAATGACTGGGTGATCTCTAAGGAATCCTTCTTAACACCTTTTGTAGGTGCCTAAATATCATGACAAGCCTGGTTTCTAGGACAAACTAGGGCATGCAGTACTCTCAGCAGTGCTGCATCCAAGGAACACATTTGCCAGGCAGCCATGTGTAGGGCCAGACAGTCCCTTAGGTAACCTGGCCATAAATTGTTTGGGATCATGAGCAACCATAGCAGGCAGGTCAGGAGCTCCAAGACTATGGCAACATAGGATCCAAGGGAGTATATGATTATGCTCCAAGACTATGCTCCAAGACTGTGGAAGTTGCCACAGCTAAGAACCATGAGCCCTCACACAGAAGGAGGGGCAACCAGTCATAAACAATGACTGACCGTGTGAAACCAGAACTTCACAATTGGAGCATTGTAGAATTCATACACTTTCCTAGTTGCAGGAAGGCTTCCCTGCTCATTATTGCCGGGAAAATTCTGGTTTTCCTCTTGCTTCTCAACTCCTTTCTCTAAATCATAATGGCTCTGTATAAGAAAACAAAGTGCTCGTGTTAGTGGTTATCCAACTCCATAAGAAACTTCTATTATGCAGATTCTGTACATAAGCAAAAAGGAAAAGAAATCTGGAGTAGTGATGTTGGAATACACTGTGCTGGGTAAATATATTTTTATATTATTATATAAATATAATAATTGCTATTTTCTGTTCACAAAGCAAGAATAACTAGGTTATTTTCCATAAACAAATACATGAGTTAAGCATTCAAGCTTAAACTATAATTGTAAACAGTAATGTTGAGATTATTGTTCTGAATTTGAACTGAACCTGAAGACCTTTTGCAGTTCCAACACCTTAAGAAGAGAAATTAACATTCAGCTCAGAAAGGTGTTCAAAGTTTCTTTTAAAAAGAGAGAGATTGCCTATATATCTGCACACCATAAAAATTATACTTATTTTGTTTATCAGCCATAGGCTCTTGTGCATCTAATTATAACATTCCTTTAGTGTGTCATTTGAGATGGAAAACAGAAAATATTCTCATGGATTCACATTTTTAGCGAGAAGTTATAGAGAATTTGTATTTTTCTAAAGTAAATTTTCCTTCTAGCATCCTATCCCAGGGAAAGAGCATATGCTATCCATGCAGAGAGTCCCAGGATCTATTCCCAGCCCTTTCCAAAACCCTAGAGAACTATTGTCAGTCTTCCTAAATAGCACCAAGCTATATCAATTAATGGTCTAAAATGGTCTAGCACAGTTCTTGTAATGTCAATGATATATATGGGAAAGCAAATGCTTAGCCCTGCCTAACAGCATCAGAATCTAGTTCTGCACTTTTCTAGCATCTACCACATTGTAGAACTAAACGTTTAGAAATAAAAAGATATATGTTCCACATTTAGGAAAAATGAAATCTAAACCTGGTACCATACTAACCAATGAGACGTTATCTTTAACACTGGAAGCGTTAGGATCACCATAATACCATGTGAACTGGTGGAACTCCTGTGACTGAGGTACATGAGACATTTCAGCCTTGCTTTTAAACTCCAGCATCAAGATGGTAGGAGGCAGAAGAATGCTTAGGATCACCTGCAGATGCATGATGCAGTTAGCAAGATTGCATTTGATCCTATCACTAGCCTTTGTATGAAACTAACAAAGAGGTGGCTGATGCCTACAAAAAGTGAGTCTCTCTCTCATCCTGCCCAACCATTCCCTCTGCTTCACTGCCCAATGTTCCTCCTAGTTGCTCTAAACCAAAACAACAACAAAAAGAAATCCAAGCCATTGATGCAAAGGAGGAATCAAGAGTGCAGTTGGATTGTCTTCCAAATTCTACCCTCTAAATCGGGTGCCTTACTCTGTTGTCCTGTTTTTGGAAGTGGCTGGGTGCACTTAGGAGTAATCAGGACCTCCCAAGTATGCCCAACCTCTGGTGAACGTAGCATGGAAAGGTGTCAAATTTAACCCACAGCTGCAAAAGACCAGCTGGAAGCCACAGCTTTATCTGGCCTTCACCTATGCCTGGCATCACATAGCATCAAGTGATGGACAGGTGAGCATACCTTGGCCCAAGTTCCCAGTGCTGTTGGATAGCTTCCAGGGCAACCAGTGGGCTATGAAACACTGCCCTCTTGCCAAGGCAGATACACAGAGAATATTTGGGAGGGATTGGGGGGTTTTGGAGGGTCCTGGTCCTGATTTTTTTTTTAAAGCCAGAACATATGCTTACTTCTTGAGATTTCCATGGGGGGGGGGGAATCGGAAGCATCCACACCATTATGTTGGTATCATCCCAAATCTTGTGTCCAACCTCTCTACTATAGTCAGGAATCAATCTGTGATTCCCAAATCTTTTCACCCTGAGCTTGACCCATTTGACTTCCAGAGAAGGAAAATGTGCAGGCAATAGCATGATGAAGCCAAAGGCCCACCAACCCCTCCTGGTCCTCACAGCTGCCACACACAGATGTGAGCAGGGAAAGCATGATCAGGAAGTATGAGAGCTGCAGAAACAAAGGGCATGGCTCCTCATCCATGGGGAAACTCTCCTTGTATTTAGTAAGAAGACTCCACAATTCATCAGTAGCTTTAGCCTAAATTCTCATTTTAAACCAGCCACATGATGTGCAGAATTGTTGCTGTTGCCAGGGCAGGAATAAATGCCAGTAAACAACAAGTAGATCATATAGCAAGATTCAAAACACAATATTCCTTCAGTCAGCACAATATCGACAGTGAAAGTACAATCCACTTCTGTGGTAAAATGTGCAACTGTTAACACTACACTTGCACATGCCAGGTCCAATAAAGTCATAAGCAGTGCATGCATACATGTGCACACATGCCAATACTTAGAAAATTCAGGGCATCATAGAGGAGATTCAGAGAAATATAATCCACATGTGTGGCAAACAGAAAGAGCTCCCAAATGGAGAGTTGTTGTTGTTTAGTCGTTTAGTCGTGTCCGACTCTTTGTGACCCCATGGACCAGAGCACGCCAGGCAAATGGAGAGTAGCATAAGCAATAAGCAGGCAAAAGTGGGGCAAGCAACCAGGGGGAGAGTTGCTAGGTCAAATCAAGCCACAAGCCACACACACACACACACACACACGCAATCTTGCTTGCACGTCCTTCAGCCAGAACAACCTTTTCCCTCCGCTGGCCAGTCAGCCAGCCATTTTCTCTTTCCCAGCAGACTGACATGATGATGCAGCTCCCTTGAAAACTATGGCTTGGGAAAGAAAACTATTCTAAATCTCTACCTCCTTGTACTGTACACAAATATGGAAGACACGGGAGCAATTGTTGACTTTGTAAGCTATTACAATGTAATTAAAGGTAGGAGACTTTAAATCTGTGTTTGCTTTGGCAGAAAAGGGACTAAGGTGCTTCCATGGGAAGGAATATACCGTACTCCTTTTTATGGGTTTCAAGAGTGCAAGGTACACTGTCTTCCCTACAGCAGGCCTAGTAGGTGACACTTGCAGAGATAATAAGCAGCTGACTTCTTGAGAAACATGGAGGAGTGTCTTCTAGGAGCTATTCAATGAGGAGTTTGCTTCCTCTGCCTTAGCAATTCTCTTCCCCCACCCTCAATAATCCTTATCCATCTGTTTGTTGTGACAGATGGATTACGCAGTTTCTGTCCTATAAATTTTTTCCCTTTTGTGACCAGAGATATGACACAATTTTCTACAACTATTTGACAAAGCGTGCCTATATGGGACTCTGGAAGGATATGACTGCTTAACTAAGATTTCTTTATTTAATGATACCATCCTTCCATAGGTATTTCCAGGGGGAGGGTTCACAAAGATGCATTCACTTTTGGTGCATCCTGTCTGTGATTCATGTACTGCCCTCATATCCTGAGTTCAACAGTGCTGATCTCCAACTCACTCAACAGACTGTGTTGCATTGTGCTAAATGAGCTTTCCCGGGGGACAGAAAGTGGGGTGGCTGTGAAAGTGCGGAAGTGCTCTCAGGAATTGCTTCTGGCTGTGTTCTTGCTCCCACAGTTCATCAGTTGCATTTGCCATGCATGAATACACTCAGTGGTGAACAAGAGCGATGGTGGAGAGAGCACAACATCTTTTGTGACTGTAGCACAGGACAACAGCAGACCTAATGCAGGCTGCACTATTTGCACAATCCAAGCCAGGACAGTGCACCTAAGTTATCCTCATGCCTGATCTTTGAGAGTCTCCTCTCAACAAGCCCATTGAACTTGAATGAGATGAGCCGTCACGCAGTGACAGCACAAGATGATTATAAAGCCACCCAGCCCCGCTATTGGCACACAGGATAAGGGACTGCTGAGAGATGCTGTACCTTAAACCAGGAGTTCTTTCTCATTTTCAGGCGTCCCATCCACATATCAGTCAACAGCATCTGTGTGCATGTGTGAGATACAAAGGGTCGCAATACCACTGACACGGCCAGCTTCAGGCATGTTGAGTTACTCCAGTTCTTCAGCTCGTATGTTAGCAGTTTCATGGCCATCTGCTCATTTTGTTTGAAAGCATTATCCAGCACATCTAGAGCCAGCTGCCCAAACTCACTATGACAGCAAAAGAAAAGCCAGGTGGGGGGCAAATGTTGCCAGTCTTAGAGTACGGACTGAGCACAAATAACAGAGGCAAGCAGTATGACTTGTATTAAGCGCCTCTCATAGGAACAGCCTGGTCCAAACCGTGGACTCCAGTAGGAATTTCTCCAAGTCAATGTGTGCTTAGGAGTACAGCCACTGTGTTTTTCCTATTGTTTCAAATAAGCCCATCATTCTAAGAAATTCTTCTGGTAATCCAGAAATTCTTCCACTTACGGTATCTTAGACCCACATCTATAGCAAAACGCCTGTTGATTTTAATGGATTTTGGATTTAATGGATTTGGGCTATGAAACCTGCTGAACTCCTTACAGCACAATTCTGTAAGCACAATTCTATGCCTGCTCACTTAGAAGTAATTTCCACTGTTCAATGGAGCTTACAGTATTTTGACTTTGGCCCTAAAACAAATGACACACATTCTAAAAAGGAACTTTAAAATGAATGTAAAATATACTGAAATCATAAATAGCTGACCTTCAAGCAGAAGACATAAATGAAATAAATAAAATAATATTGCAAAAATAATTCAAATATATATTGGCCAATATTTATGCAACAGTATTTAGCTGATAACATCTATATTTCTGAAAATGAAATAATGAGCATTGATAAGCAACTTTAACAATATTTATCTCAGCTCAGTTATGTCAAGGTTACTACCTACAATAGAGTTAAAAAACTTTCCTAACAATATTACTAAAAATATTTTTCTAATGTAACACACACAATATCAGGAATCAAAATAATAAGATACAAAACCCATTAAAAAAATTCAAGTAAACATGCATGACAAAAATTCTATTGCTTCAAATGGACTATGTTCTTAAACTGGAAAGCACACAAGATCCTTCTTGGGAATGTTCCGTGTCAGCTACATGGAATTTCTGAGTTCTGTTTGGAATTTCTGCCTTTTCTTGATGTGCCCAATGGGGCAAAGAATGGCATAAAAATAGATAAGACAAAGGTGATAGATGTGAGGATCCTGGCAGTAGAAGTAGATCATCACTGGAAAAAAATCACCTGATAATACAGGACTAATGAACTTGATAACAAAATGATGGAAACTGGAGATGTTGAAATAATGGTGTTTTTTCTAATAAAAATGGAGGCGCAGAAAATTATACATTAGATGGAATACTGGCTTGTCAGTATTTCTCACCAATTTTCTTTTCATTACTGGGAAACCCAGCCAGATGGGCGGGGTATAAGTATTATTATTATTATTATTATTATTATTAGGAAATGTAATCCTTTAAGAAAATGTACCTTTCAGCTCAGATCAGCCTTTTAAAAACTATTCTCCTCCTTTGCCTGCTAAGATAAAGGATACCCTTCAGCTGTCACCAGCTCTAATGTTAAGAACAGAAGAAGAGTCCTGCTGAATGAGGCCAAAGGCCCACCTAGTCCAATACTCTTTTCTGGCGGTGGTGAACTAAATGCCCATGGGAAGCCCATTATATAATCTTAGGTGATGGAGAGAAAAATGTCTAACCATTCTAAGCACTGTAGATCTGTATTATCTGAAGTGAAGGGAGAATCCCTACTTTGAATACTTCTTCAGCTCTTCTGACGTGTCATCCTCCATGTTGCTTTGCTTAGCTTCATGTGCCATCGCTCTGTAGAGTTTGCAAGCCACCACAGCCTTGACCATGGCTTCCTTTCCATGCTGCCAGAAGAACATGGCCATCTTCTGCCTTTTCATCAATACTGCCCAAACCAAGAGATCATTATATGGGTATATAAACCCAACTGACTGTTGGTCATCAGAGACAGTAAATTCATCCTTTAGCTTCTTTCTAGTCTTGTGAAGAACAGCTGTTTTTTGCTGCAAGTTAATAAACAAAAAGTTACTCAAAGTCTATCACCTCTATGCACAATTTGCTTACTTCAAATCAAATTTCTGAGTTATAGGGTTATTATCCACAAGAATTATAAACTATATTAAATGACGGCTATGATAAATAGTAAAGGTACCCCTGCCCGTACGGGCCAGTCGTGTCTGACTCTAGGGTCGCTTAAGAGGCCGGGGGCCAGCGCTGTCCAAGGACACTTCCGGGTCATGTGGCCAGCGTGACGAAGCTGCTCTGGCGAGCCGGCACCAGCGCAGCACACGGAAACGCCGTTTACCTTCCCGCTATAAAGCGGTACCTATTTATCTACTTGCACTTAGGGGTGCTTTTGAACTGCTAGGTGGGCAGGAGCTGGGACCGAAAGACGGGAGCTCACCCCGCCGCGGGGATTCGAACCGCCGACCATGCAATCAGCAAGCCCTAGGCACTGAGGTTTTACCCACAGCGCCACCCACGTCCCCTGTATGATAAATACAGAATCACAAATCCGCAAAAGGAACCACATTCCATATGAAATAATATACTCAAAGCTCCATATAACAGAATGCAACTATTAATATCAATTTTGTGTTCTATTATGTAGAAAAGCAGAAAATTCTGACAAGATTTAATAGGTCAGATCCTCGATCCAGATAGTTCAATATTGTCCACGCTGACTGACAAGAGCTCCAGACAGCAGTCTCTCAAGCCTTACCTCAAGATGCCAGGAATTGAACAAATATGTGCTCTACCAGTGAGCTGTGGCCTTTTCCATCGCCACTGGCCAGAATGGCTCTCCATTTGAATTTCTTTTAAAATGTTTGTTCAATTGCCTTGGATCCAAAACTGACTGAACGTGCTGCCTTATTGGGAACAAGGAGGAGGAAGGTCTCTTTGCCCTTCCCTTAAAGAGGAACAAATCTAGAGATGTATGACACACATCTAGAGAAGATGCTGGTGACAAGTCTTTCTCTGGATTGTTGGACAGTGGAGAATGGAGAAACAGGCCTCTCAGAGTTTCTGAAAAACTCTAAGGAACACACATCTAAATTTGTACTAGAAACCCATTGACCTACAGTCATTCACTTTCAATTTTTCCAACCACCCCTCATAACACAGAATAAACCATTATCTCCAAGGGGATTATAGGGAACCAACTGTGCTTCTTAATTTTTGTCTGATTCAAGCCCTGAAAAGGAAACGATTTACTTTAGCCATTGAATCTGCCTCTCACATGTGTATAAACCCACTGGAGTGAGCAAATATGATTTTTCAGCCTACTGGTTTTCTATCAAATTGCATAAGCAAGCAAAGAAACACAGTACTTTGTATTTGTATGGCTGTGCTGTTCGAATGAATTGGGAATGTGAGGTGTTTTCATCAGATCCATTTCTACTCCTCATATGATTATTATGATGAAGGGAGAAGTTCTGCGTCAAGCTGGAGACAACTCTCTGGTTCCATGAAACAAAGAGAAAGAGACAAATGAGATCCGGATCATCATGATAATGTTTATCAAAACACAGTAACAGAGGTTTATAATTTTCTCTTCCACTTAAAGTAGATATGGGGCACCTGTGGCACTCCAGATATTGTTGGATGATTGGCCATGCTGGCCTGGACTGTTGGTAGCTGGCATCCAACATCTCAACACAATGGCTATTCTCTGCCTCCATGGTCAGAGGCAGCAATGCTTTTGAAGGCCAGTTGCTGGCAACCACAGCAGGCCCTGCTTGTGGCTTTTCCATAGGGATCTGGTTGGCCACTGTGAGAACAGAATGCTGGACTAGATGGTCTGATCCACTGGTCTGATCCAGCAGGCTGTTACAATGTCAGGGGAACACAGGGTCGGCAGTCCCGCTGGTATGTGCAGACCTGCAGGGCTATTGCTGCCAATGCGACACGCCCCTGACCGCTCCATTGCCACAAAAACCTATCCCATCCTGATTCCTGACGAACACAGTACTACAAGGAGCCACCACGGCTCAGTAGCAGGAGCTCAAAATGATAAATGGAAAAATAGGTTCCTTTAAATAGGAAGAAAGGGCCCTCAGAAAGGCTTTTCTGGGCTCACAAATGCACAAGGTGAGCAAATTGCATTCTATTAGACAGGCATCAGAATGGATTAAAATGATGTCAAGAGATGAGAAGCAGAAAGTTCAAATACTGCCTTATTTTGTAAACAAACATTATATCCAGTGAAGACACAATAAATATTGATCCCCACAATTCAATTTAACAATTACATCTCCGATAAAAAAATAAATTGGCTAAATTATTCATAATTGGCTATTTTTCTATTATTTATTATTCTAGTTTATTATCTATTAATATGATGCTTCACTGAACGTGGAAACACATTTTTTGTATTTCAGTTCTGATTCCTTACTAAATAGCCAAACTGTAATAACATATACACGTTAAACTATTTGCCCTAAACCAGGCATCCCCAAACTCGGCCCTCCAGATGTTTTGGGACTACAATTCCCATCATCCCTGACCACTGGTCCTGTTAGCTAGGGGTGATGGGAGTTGTAGTTCCAAAACAGTTGGAGTGCCGAGTTTGGGGATGCCTGCCCAATGGATCTCCATTAGCTCTCACTGATGGAAGCAGCTGTGACCATTTTACTGAGTTTACCTCACGTTTCCTGTAAAGGCTATTGTACAGAACTCGGAAATGCTTTCTTGTGTAGCTGCTCTGATAAGCTCCACCAATCAAGTATTCTATTACCAATCCAATATCAATCAGAGATATTTTATAATCCACAGGAAGAGTACTCTGTAACACAAATATTTGACATTTTATATAACAATCATACTTAAGCATATTAATAGTGCTTTTGAGAACGTATCAAGAATCCTTCACAAACACTTTATAATCTGAGCTACTAAATAAATGTACAGGAGAATAGTTTAATAGCTTGAGCCACTTATTAGTCAATATCACATTCCTCAGATTGTCCATATTTAAACATATGATGTTTTCCCTTCAACATCTTTATCATATTGACTGGCTGTGCCCAGATGACATATATCCCACTGATAGCAGCTCTAATCAACTCCCGCCCGAAAACCTGTGTCCCTGCTGTGGAAGGACGTGTGGATCCAGAATCGGCCTCCACAGTCACTTACGGACTCACTGTTAAGACTGTGTTCATGGAAGACAAGCTTACTTGGCTACGAGTGATCACCAAAGAAGAAGAAAACAGTTGAAGTTCTACTTAGCATGGGTGTTTGTTGCTATTCCTAACATTTTTGAAGTTGCTGCTAGTCTGGTTGGGCCATTCGGATAAGCACAGCTCCCAAGTTGATCATACAGGCCCAATACTATAAAACAGCATATAGCAAGTGGTGATTCAGTTGTGATCATGGCAAAAACCACCATCTAAAGGAGTTCTAGCTCATCATTCTTCAGAATGTAGATTACCTGTTTCACGTCACAAACAAGATGATGCAGAAGATGATTTGTTGGCCCTTGTTTCTGGAATGTTAAAAGAAGAATGACAAGAATACAGTGACTAAATTAAAAGAAAGAAACTTTCAGTATATATGAAAGAAAGATTCAGAAACAGGACAGCTAGTACATTAATATTTATTAACAAGTAATTTTGTTTGATTTAAGTCTGAAGAAAGCTGTATTTAAAAAGAGAAAGCACATTCTTCAGCTGCATTTCTGGCCCATGATCACAACAGAACTGTCAGATCAGTCTGTCAATCAACCAATCACTATCTTCAAATGAGCCTCCTGCCTGCTAAACTGCTTATTTTTTGGTTTATATAGATTGGGCAAGAGGTGGAGGCTGTGAGACTACAAGAGAAATCTCTTTTATCCTCGCTGTCTTATCCTGCATGCCTCCCTCATAGATTTTAAACTGGCCTTCGGGGCATTGCAACCTGCCCTTTACATTTTCTGCCATTCCTCTAACAGAAAATTGAACAGATTGTCTAGTTAGTGTTACACTTGTGGAAGGAAAAGCACTTTTTCATAACTTTAAATACATCCAAAAGAGGAAAACCCAAGGACCAAGGCACTGAAGGGTTATTTATTTTTAATATACTGTAGAATACCACATTACACTAATAGGCTGAAATTCCCAAACTGTTCTGGAATATGTTTGGTGCACTCAGATCTGTCCCCATCCGAAATCTGTATCATTCCAAACTTTCAGAATGTATACTGACATCCATTTTAGATTTCAGGTGTCCCAGTTTTATGAGGGATGTGATGGGGAGCAGATTCTGAATGATTCATTGTTGCAGAAGCCTCCGCATATGCACAGCAAGGCCTCTGCTGTGATGATGAAGTAAGCTGCAAACAGTCTTGAATAACAAAACGAAAACAACATTATCTGCTCTCTTTTCAATGAAATGAAATAGATCAACAGATAAACGAGGAAGAACAGAAGATGACGTTACTTTGTAGCTTGATTCATCTGCCCATTCATCCATCTAGGATAAAGCCATCCTGACAGGCAGTTCTGCAGGAGAATATACAACTAGGCATGCACCTACACAACAGCCACTCACCAAGACCTATGATCAGAACTATGCAATGAGTTCTTGGGGGGGGGGGGACCCAACTAGGCATACTTATAACAGCTTTTTGGATTCTATGCTACAAGTTCAAACATCCATGCAAAAATGCAGAATCGACCTATTGTTCCATTGGAACTACCTCTGAATATTAGCAAAGTAGATACATATTTAAGCAAAATGTATTCAGCATTGGAATTCCAGGCACTCACAGTATTGTACAGTTCTTCCAATCGGGTTATGGTAAGAAAACGGTGCAGATTCACTCCATGTTCTATTAGCAACTTCACAAATTCTACCCGATCCATCACCAGAGCATCAAGCATTGCTTGTTCCAGGGACCCAACCTTCAAACAATTGCAGGAAATGTAAAGAAAGGGGGAGAAATAATTGTTTTCTTCATGACTTTTGCAATTTCTCGGAGTTATTTGCATTTCAATGCTGGTGAGCAAACTCCAATATTTGTCCTTAAACACAATAAGACAAATAAGTACAGATAGCACAACTGTAAATGTTTGTCCATAATGTGTGGAAAATAAATGTGAAAACTACCTTCCAGTGCTGTCCATAAATCAATATATGCTTCTTAGCAATGTCCAGTCTGTTCCAGGCCAGTGCCAGATTTAGCTGATCTGGAGCGGACATATTTGTTCCTACAAAAAGGAAATTATTCTTTTAGATTTTATACAAAATGTTTTTCCTCTTCTACTTCAAAAGTAATTATTATGCATTGCTATGACTTTGAAGAAAGGCAGAAATTATTATATGCATGTACCTTTTAAGAGTGCAGTCAGGATTGCCAAATCAATGTCCTGATGCTCATCCGACTCTGCATCAAATATGGTTATCTGTCAAAATAACAAAACATTTTACTGAGAGAAGAGAGAAAAGAAGAGAGACAATTCAAGACTATTGCACTGGTGGGCAAAGGATAGGCAGTAAACTGTGAGCTGCAATCATTTTTCTAAACATGATTAATTTAGTGGAACAGCTTCTGAACCCAAGTCAAAATTCAATGGCACTCTAGAATGAGATTAATGAAAAGAATTTCATGAATTTATCATACTTACAGAATCCCTGTGTTCCATGCACTCCATTAACATTTTTAAATAAGTGGTGGGATTGTTTCTGCCCCAAACTGAAGGTGTTCTGAATCATTAATAATATCTCTTCCTTAAGCTGAGGGCTCAAATTCCTGAGAAAGAAACGTATGTACAAATAGATAATTATTATTTCACCAATAGATACTTATTGTCTGTTACTGTAATACTGTAAATATTTTCCAACAAATTTGTAACACAAAAAGCTTCCCCCATCTCTTTATTTGTACCGCTTGTCCCCTACACAAGGGCAGCCAAGGTATGTGCCCTCCAGATGTTATTGGACTACAACTCCCATCAGCACCAACCTGTTGGACAATGGTCAGGGATTATGAGAGCTGGAGTCCACCAAAATATGGAGGGCATCGCTGAGTCTACCTTTGCACTATATAGTGACTAAAACATCACCCCTAAACAACTGAAGTCAAGGCATGTCCACAAAAAGAATAAAGGGTTCAATTTAGAATGGTTACTTTACACATACTTAGTTGGTTATAGGCATTCCACCTAAGTAACAGTCAATCAACACTGTACAACCGTGATTGGCAACTAGTTTGGCTGATGGCCAAATTACATATGTTGCCTCTGTCCCACTTACTGTTGTTGACATATGCATAGTTTGTGGAGGAAGAAGAGTTTAAAAGGACCCATAGGATGAACCCAAGGCAATGATGGGTCAACTAGTGGTTGATCTGGATGATGGGCTGCACTTTTTTGGCGTGCTTTCGAACTGCTAGGTTGGCAGGAGCTGGGACCGAGCAATGGGAGCTCACCCCGTTGCGGGGATTCAAACCACCGACCTTCTGATCGGCAAGCCCAAGAGGCTCAGTGGTTTAGAATAATGGCTTATAAATAGTACTGTCAAACGTTAATATGAGCAGTACAATTTCAACAGTGAAAATGTCCAATCTAGGTTAAGAGAAACATCTCTGAATGGTAAGAAATATGCTGAAGTTGGTGAAACTGGGCTGGAAGTATTAGACAGTTAAATCTTGAAAAATAGGGCTACACTTGTAGAGCATCAGAATCATAGTTTGACCACCATCCCAGTTTCACTATCAATTGCACCACTTCAGCTACTTCTCTAGAACCACCCTGTGAGGACACAAAAAAGAAAACGGTGGTGACCAGAAGCTTCATCATTTGCCAAGTACATATTCCCAGTACTCCCCATCAGTCAATAAATAAAATAAGAAAGTGACTAGCTGGCAGTACAGGAAGCAAATTGGGTAGGTATGATAAAGAAATAACAGGTGAGTTTTACTCAGAGAAGACCCATTGAAATTAATTAACATGACTAAGTTAGGGCCATTAATTTAAATGGGTCTAGCCTGAGTAAAATTTAGTGGAATACTATGCTGCAGCGGATGAAAGGACCAGCAGCAGCGCCAGAAAGGTCCTGGGAAAAGGCCTAGAAAAAGGCTGAGCAATTCTTCTTTCCTTTCTCCAGAGTGAGAAGTTGAGATGCTCACCTGACACTCAACGAGGTTCAGAGACAATCTTATTAAACCATGTTTTTATTTTTTAAAAAAACACCAAGATTTCTTAGCTATAGCCTTGTTTGATTAAAGGCATCTTTTGCAATGAAGCGCCAAGTGCAAGCAAATGCTGCAAGCCGCAAGTACTCACGTCATGTCTGCTGTGTGCTTATGGGTGAAAGCGAGAAGGTCGGCCGCTCGCCCAGTTCCCTCATAAACTACTACAGGGACAGCCGGCTTGTCCCTCACATATTCCCACACGGTCAGGATCTCATTTGGACCACCTTCCACCAGCAGCCCAACTAAGGGCACTCCTTGTCCCATTCCTATTTCAAACCACATCGGAAATGTTAACAGGGCAAGAGCTCCACAGTGCATATAATCACCCACTTTTGTACCCATCAAGAGTTTTAAAAATCACAAGACAAAAAGTAGGGCTATTGCCGGTTTTGTTTTTTAATAGTCAATTAAACAATGTTTTACTCAATTATTAACTTCACTGATTAAATTTGTATGAACATGCATGTGAGTAAAACATTAATAATTCTGAAGCAAAAAGCATTATTAGTTTTTCCTTTTTAGAAGGAGAACTTAGAAGATGGAAGTGTGACAAAGAAGAAATGATGTATTCTAAAAGCTACAGGTGGCTGGAACTAAGTAATAAAACTGCAGTATTATTTTTTTAACAAAAAATGTACTACTCAATGAATTGGGACATAAGGAAATTTATCAAAACAATTGCTAATTGATTAAGCCTTATTTTTTAACTTTAATTTTAATTGGCAACATATCACAATACACCATGGTCAATGGTCACAGTAAATCATACTGAATGACAATGCAAAAAGCTTCCACTGTGCTCCTCCCTAAAGATTTGTAAAACAGATTAAGATATGTTCCAGGCACCAATTTCCTGTGACATGCTGGTATCCAGGAGAAGTTACTTCTCTTCTCTTAGTGCAAAGCCAGCTGTCAGTGGTGCCTGAGATAAGAAGCTTCTTACAAAGTGAACCCAGAACCAGGATAACTTACTAGAGTGTATTTTCTGGAGTGACAGGTATTTTTCTAGATTCCTCCTGAGTTTCATCTCATTGCCGTATTTGCCCACGGTGCCATCATCAGCCAGTATGAAATGGGAATGCATGCTGTTCAGGGTGCTCAGCTTGCTGAGAGGGTTGCTCAGGGTCTGATACAGGCACACTACCTGAGGAGAATCCAGGTAAAAGCAAAACAAAACAGCCCCACCAAAATACTATAGCATTCTCATTTGGGAAGGGGGTGGGACATCTGCCTGATTTAGACATTTTTATTGCCTAATAGAGAAATAATTTGCTTTATTTCACAAGAAGTCATGGCATCAGCTCTTGATATATTTGCATAGTATTCTCTAATAATCCTTGTATCATAGATATTCTATAAGGCAGAAGACCTGAGGTCCTTAGTCACTGCTATTTTAAAAACAACATTCTTTTACACAGTACTTTTTTCTGGGGGTACGCAGGGGTATGCACACCCCTAAACATTTTGTGAATCTAAGTTTGGCCTCATTGAGGTGGAGTATTTCAATATGAGTAGGAAAATGAGAGTACCCCTAAATATTATTTTAGAAAAAGAGCACTGATTTTACTTCAGCACCAATCCAGTCTCCAAATAGCAGAATAATAGTACCCTTCCTGAAGTACAACAGGGTTATGGGTGTTATTTAACTACCTTTTGCTCAGAGTAGACTCACTGGAATTAATAAGAATGATTAAGTTAGGTCAATTAATTTCAATGGGTCTACAACAAGTAAAAGTGGGCCAGATTCAACTAATGAGTGCCACTAGCGGGAGCCAGTGCAACAGAAGCACAGTGGGGGCTTTCCCCCCCCCCCCGTCTCTCTCCCCCTCCTCCAACTGGCTTGAGGAAACTTCCCCAAACACTACACAAGGATAGAAGAGGGGAGATCATTGCATGAAACGCTTGCGCTGATGAAACAATCTTCTCAGCACTATGTTGAATTCCCCCCTTGTGTTGCAGAGTACTTCCAAACAGGGGCTTAATTTTGAAAACAGGTCATTCAGCTATTGCAAACAGGTAACAAATAGGCTTTATTAAAGATCAGGTTGTTTTCAGGAAAGGGTCAGTCTAGATGAAATGGGGGGAGGAATATAGGTTGGCATTTTGATGCTTATGTCATCATATAGATACTGTGAAAAAATTGCTGAGATTTCCACAATAAACACCCATCTGGGAAGCACCTTAGATATGAGGTAATCCATACAATAGTTTCTATCCCATTGCCACTAATATCCATATATATCAGTATTGCATAAATTACATATTTGCATCTGATGGCAAGTTACACAAGAATAATTGCATAAAGAACCCTTTTTGCTGGAGATGCAAGTTTGTACACGCGAAAGAGCTCTTCCCTACAGGCAAACCCCTACTATGCAGGCTTTGGGACTGAGGGAAAGAGTGCACTTAAAACAAGAAAACAAAGAGCATTCATTGACTCACATCTTTTCCAATGAGGTCCCTCTGGTTCTCAATGATCCCCCAAGGGGGGATTCCAACAGCCAAGATCTTTCTTAAGTACTGAGAGGCGTGGAGTTTCAAGGCATCTCCCACATGCTTAGACACACCTAAAAATATTATCACCATCATCATTAATATTACAAAACATTTGGCATCTTGCCCTCACAGCATACAATTCTTTGTGCATTGCCTTGTGATCTACTTAGATGAAAGGCGGTCTAGACATGAAATTGTCATGGATTCTACTCAGTATTGATCCAGAGCAGAACTCCAGCGTATAGTTAGCAGGTTAAAAACTTAAACACGTTGTGGGATTCCCAAGCAATAGACCAGAGGCGATTGTATTTCATCCAGCAGAGCTTTACTGCTACTGAAGGCAAATGAGCAATAATGGTCACAAATTGACACCGTCCATAAGAAGTCCAGTTGCAGCAGACTTAAACTTACAATAACTTATAATAAGACCAAAACTTAACACTATATACAAAACACCACACCAGAAGGAAAGACAGAAAGAGAGTAAAACCCAGGCTCCTTCTGGCCTTACTATTATAGTTAGCATGACCTTGTCAGAAGAGGTAACAAAACCAGTTTAAGCCAGCTGTACTCAGCTTCTCTGAAGGAATAAATCAAAAACATCATGAACCTTCTGCTTGTTTCTTTCACACAGAGAAGCTACCAGAACCCTCTTGAATTAATTAGAATAGGAAAGATCTCTAAACAGATCGATACTTTCTGTACTAAGAAATGCAAACTGACAGAAATAAGTAAGAAATTTACATCACATCCAAACTGCAAAAAGGAAATAGCTCATAGCCTAAGAACATGGTGGAGTTACATACAACTACAGTACCATAGAAAAATGTTGCATTTGTGGGACTTCTCCACAAAATTGTGAGCTGTATTTCTTGAATAGCACAATATTTTTCAACCACATAGTTATTCCATCCACACTATGCACTTACACTATTAACAGTCATGGCTTCCCCCAAATAATTTTGGGAACCGTAGTTTGTTAAGGGTGCTAAGAGTTATTATTATATCATGATTATTTATTAAATTTATAAAAATTTTATAGTAAGATCACAGGTTGTCAGGAGACCCCTCAGAAAGCAAAATTCCCAGAAACCATAAAAACTACACAGATCCAAATATTCCATATGACCAAGGCACAGAAGGGTCAAACTGCACACAGGCAGCTCTAAGAAGCTCACCAGCCACAAACTGCCTGTCATCTAAGAAACCAAAACTATGAGAGGAGGCCTAACTCAGTGGTAGAGCATATGCTCTGCGTACAAAGGATCCAGACACAATTCTTGGCATCTTCATGCAGAATGGGGGGAAATCCTACCTGAAATCCTCAATAATCTAGCTAATTCTAAGGTCCAACTCAGTATAAGGCAATTTTCTGTGTTTCTATGTTCCTCAGAGAGAACATTACATTTCAAAAGAGTTTACTGTACCAGTGTTGATGCCTTCTGTTAGTATCCATGCTCCTGTGGTCTCAGCAGCTTTGACCAAGCCTTTGCTCAAAAGCTGCTTAAGTTTAGATGGAAGTTTGAAGTTCTGGATGCCACCATGAACAGAAATGACCAGTTTGGGCAATTCCATCTGCCATTCTTTCACCATGAGTTGCAACAACTGGTCCACCTTGGTATCATAAGAAGTTCTAATATACTGAAAAAATAAACTGTAGTTGTTAGAACTACGCAGAGAGAAAAGGTAGCATATATTTTATCTTTTTGTCTCATCATTCAGAGGTGAATATGTTCACTCCTTTAATTTCAAGAGTATTATGCCAGAGATGATGGAAGTTGTTAGAAGCACTGTATTATATGGGATGGTGGTACTTGATCTTTTAGACACATGCATGATATCTCTTGATATTGTAGTCATCAAATTATGAGATAGCATGGAACAAACTCATACCAACTTATACTGGATTTTTATCTAACACCAGCAGTTTTATGTTTAGCACTATTGGTTGTTTTTATGCTAAATAACTGAGAAAGTGTGTACGCACCTTGGCATGGTAAGTGTGATCACTGTCTTGAAAATTGATAGTACCAAATGCATCAGTTGGACTTGTCTTTGTGTCCCTTTGGACACACCATTCCCTGTTCTCTACTTCTTGTGCAGACCGACAGATGGGCCAGCAACAATCAATCCCAGGATGGTCACCAATTAGTCGTCCACAACAACACCTTTTAAAAAAGACAAAAAAACTCATAACATTGTCATAAATTAATTAAATGCATATAAACAGTGACTAGCTCACATTAATGCATTGTACTAGAATGCTGTAAGACATTTCTCAAGTTTTACAGAAATGCTGAATAACCCAAACACCTTGCACTGTACAAATATCTTCTTAAAATTATAAGCAAATTGCAGGTTAAGGCTCCTGTTAACATCTTAAATTATCAATCCAGAGATTTCTAACTGGAAAACTCAGATTGAATGGAAGGATAAGACAGAGAAAATGTGGCAATTTTTCAAATATATGCATAGAATAGCATAATCTGGATGCCTGCAGCTTTCCACAGCTGTTTTGTTTTGTTATGAAGGACAGGTGGACAATATAACTACTAGATGTGAATAATATATCCCCCTGTTATTTTTAAGTGTTTATAGCAGACGTGAGGATATTCCATTGGAATCAGGACCTCTGGAGGAGGAGTTTCAGGTCGGTGTCTCTCCCAAATTGACCAGAAGATACTGGGGATTAAACCTGGGACATTCTGAATGTACAGCTGATGCTCTAGCACCAAGCTATGGTTTGCAACATACAGCCTCCACCTGGAAGCACCAATGTTTTATCCCTCCACTCCAAACTTTCTCTAATATGCAGGTGTAGCTCACTGCTTGCACTCTCTTTTTGTTTCTGTGTCTTCCCATATCCAACAGGAGGCACCAGCTGTGCATGGAAGTCTCTGGATGCCACATCTAGTTTATTGACTGCAGCAGGATTTCTAGTAAATCCTCCAGCAGCTGACTGAAATGCAGTCAACCACTTGTATTAGTAGGGGACACATCCTTGGTTAGGAATATTTCACACCCATTCTTTATTTTAAAAAATACAGTCCCAAATCGTATGAGGTCTTACCGAATTAAGTTCTGGCACACTTGGCATCTTGCGGGACATCTGAAAAAGAAGTTAAAAACAGCAGTATGTTGTACAGTTACATTTGTAAAAAAAAAAAGTTAGGCTTCAAAAAGGCAGAGCATTCACCTGAAGCGTTTCATTGCACCAGTGTCACAAAAAACCTGAGTAACACTTTTTACACAATGTCTCACCTGGACAACATTGTCAGTAACTTACTGAAAGGTTCAAATGCAAAAATGTAATGGTTCAAGACAACAACTTCAAGGTTAGTAAAAAAAAACCAAACAAACAGAGCCACTGTTTCTAACTTTGACTTCCTAAATATGCATGCCACACCGGTTTAAATAATTAATAATTAATACTACATCTATCCCTTTCAAAAGCAACTGTATTGTATATTTCTTTTTTTTTTTTTTTTTGAGTTTTAAAAATTTTTTATTATATTCCAACATCTAAAAACACATATACCATATTATTAAAACAGAACAAAAAGAAATAAATAGATACAAAAATCAATATACAATCTATTATGTTGTTTCACTTCCCTCCACCACGACGTGACCTCTATCTCAACCATATGTACCGCAGTGTCTTTTGTTAACCCGTACGTTTTACCTCACGGTTTTTATATTATTCCTGTTACATACCTATTGTATACCTATTGTAATTTTAATATTTCCTGACATTGTCTCTATATATGTAACAAATTTGTTCCAGTCATTAATAAATTTAGTATTTTTCTGTTGCCTTATCTTCTGAGTCATTATTGCCAATTCAATATATTCAGTTAACTTAGTTTGCCAATCTTTAATTGTAGGTATGCTGGGTTTTGTATTGTATATTTCAAAGCAGTCAAAGAATTGATTGAGTGAAACTGGGTAAGGTGTAAAGGGAGGGGAAGTTGGCCAGGTGTGTGGGAAGGAGGGGTGGCAAAGGTGTTGCTAGGCGGGGGGGGGGGTGAGCAGACTGGGCAGGGGTCGCAGCCCCTCTCTGGGTGGTTCTTATGATACTCATGGGTTGTGGGTTCCACACTGGAAATATGTTGCCTGCAGTGCCCTGGATAAATGTTTGAAGCGACATGAGGCCAACACCTTACTGAAGCTGAGCAGGTCTGGCTCTGTCAGAGAGGGCTCCACGATGGAAGAATGGTAGGATAAACATGTCAGAAAACAAGTAAATGATACTGTACAAAGTATGACTGCCATTTTAAGGGAAACATGATAAAGAGCCTCAAATTCAAAATGAAAATATGGCTGAAGTTAACTAGATTATAGTCGTGTTTGTAGCAGCTAGAAGGGCCTATATTTATTCAAGGAAAACCAACATTGTTAAAGTGTGAATTAGAAGTTTTTAATTGTATTTTTATCTTCTTGTTGTTTGTACAATTCAACCAAAACAAAGCAAAACAAAGTACCTGTGATGATCTTTGGAACTTGGCACGATTCTTGCACACTCTCTTTTACAGAAGACACCTTCAATCCAAGATTTCTGGGACTGAAAAGAAATATTAAACCTCAAACAGATACTTTGGGAGGCAAAAATAACTATCTGCAATATATTAGCACATGTTGTAGGACCAAACACAGTTGGCATTAATATTGTGCATGAGATCAGTTTGTTATTTCCTTCTTTATCTCAGAACATTGCAGATTAATCTGTGCTGACCTAAACTCTAGCGTTTAGAATTCACTCACACTAACCCATGCCTAGAGATAGGAAGAAAGCTCACAGCCTTCCTAATAGCAGATGAATTGAGTGAGATAAGGAAGAAATGCTGAACTGACAGAACTCATCTCCACTTCCTTGACACAGTATTAATACCTGGCAGCTATTTTACATTTGTACAATGAACAGATGGTGCTGGCTATCACTTAATAGTGGCCATGTGTTTTTTTAAAAAGATTAAAAACATTTGGTTCCAATTTAGTAATGACAATCATGGAGAGAAACTTATCAGAGAAATTCTACCCTATCAACAGGTGGAATTCTTGAAAATGAATGAAAGTTCAAGATTACCCTCTGCCTACTATGGGGAATAACTTTATAATCCAGATAGCTTTAAAAAATCATTTAAAAATTCAAGGAACCCCTGACACACATACACCTTTGAGCCATGCCCCACCTGTAGGGCTGCTAGGTCACCTGAAAGCTCCATAGGACCCACTGAAATATTTGCCGAGTATCTGAAAAGTGAGGCAAATGACACAAATATGCAGATTGTTCCATACAGTTGGACTGGGGAAGGGCCACAGTTCAATGGGTTCAGTCCCCAGCATCTCCAGGAAGGCCGGGGAGAGAAGTCTGTCTGAAGCCCAGCCAGTGAAGAGCCAGGTGGACCAGGGGCTCCTATATGCCATTCTTCACCAAACCATGACAGGCATTTGTTTATTTCATAAAATTTATAGACTGGTTGATTGTAGAAAACCTCAACACAGTTTACAAAGGAATAAAACTGCAAGTTTATTAGTTTTTTAAAAACATTCGGAAAAAGTATAAGCTAGCAATAAACTAAAAACACATCAGCATTCTAAATATCAGTTCATAAGTTTATTGTTCTAGCCTAAGGCCATGACAGACTTGCATTAGGCAATAGTGACCGCTCCCCGCTTAAAACAGGGGGCGCCCTTTGCGTGGACGCGTGCAGCCCCTAGATCTATAGCGGCTCCATCAGCATAGGCTTGGCTTTGCCTTCCCTCAGGTGGGATACCTGGAGGTCTCCGCCTACCTCAGTCAGTAGTCCCATCCCACCTGGGGGAAGCGTTGCCAAGGAGACCAGGCCAGGTAGGGGAGGGATTACCTGCCCACACAATAGAGGGAGGATCTTACCTGGGAATCCTCACTTGGCTCCAGAGCTTCTCCCACCCTACCCACCCTCAGTTAATGTCTTCTTTTGCAGGTTAACTTTTCTTCACAGGTATGCGGGCGCTGCTACGTTAAGGTCGCTGTTAAAGGGCCGGAAAGGAATTTCCCTGCATTGGCAGGTTTCGCCTTTCCCGTAGCAAAACGTCACAACTTTGGAGGTATCAGGTCTTGGGCGGAATCCTTTTGTCCATCTTCCTCTTTGCGGCGGCAATACCAGGGTTCCCCTTAAAGGGGTTTTCTGAAGGGAGGCTTTGACCGTACGCCGAAAGGTCGTCATTGCTCTCCCCTGTGGCGGCGGCGTAATGGGGGCGGCTATCTCTGCTTGAACATATGTTCTCCAGAGCCGGCCCATCCCCCCCCACACACACTGGATAACCCTGATGCTCCCTAGGTCCCCGGCTGGGGACCGGGGAGGGAGAACGCCCAATGCCTGAGGCCAAGGTCTACCCACATTTGAAATTTAATAAAGTTGTGGCCAATTTAATCCCATAGCACGTTGTCTTGAGTCGTTATTCCACATGACGGGGGGACCGCGCGGGATCTGGGGACTCCGCCTCTCCACGCAATAAGGTAAAGGGGACATTGGTGGTGCTGTGGACTAAACCACTGAGCCTCTTGGGCTTGCTGATCAGAAGGTCAGTCGTTCGAATCCCCACAACGGGGTGAGCTCCCGTTGCTCTGTCCCAGCTCCTGCCAACCTAGCAGTTCGAAAGCTAGGTTAGATAAACAGGTACCACTGCGGTGGAAAGGTAAACTGTGTTTCTGTGCGCTCTGGTTTCTGTCATGATCCTGTGTGTGCTAGTAGCAGTTTAGTCATGCTGGCCACATGACCTGGAAAGCTGTCTGTGGACAAATGCTGGCTCCTTCGGCTGAAAGCGAGATGAGCACCACAACCCCATAGTCGCCTCTGACTGGACTTAACTGTCCAGGGGTCCTTTACCTTTACCTTTACCCTTAGGCAATAAACTCCTCCTTCCTGATTTTTTTGTATCCAGTGCATAGAGGGCACAGTATGTGCTGAACACTTCCAAGAGATTTGTTTACAACAAAAGCCAAACTAATCTAAATAAAAATAGGTCAACTTTCAGGTTTTATGGTCTTGGTTCATGATCTAGATGCTTAGATTTGTCTACTGCACTTCAACCCTGTTTCAGGGAAACCGGCAGGGTGTGAGTGGAAACTCAGGGTGAGAAGGGGACAAGAGGTTCAGAGAAGTCTTGAATTATTTTAACAAATATTTTATAAGCGGTTTTGTAAATCCCATGTATTTAGACAACTCATGAACTACTTAGTAAAAATCAGTCAAGGGATGTGGAAAGCCTTGGCTGCGTGCCTGATCTGGGTGTAAGTTATGCTCACACGCAACAGCAAAGTACTCCCCCCCCCACCCCACTTATAACACTGCTGTGCCCGATATCAAGACTTGAATTAGTCTGATTGCCACAAGCCTGTCTCTGTAAGCATTACCCTGCAATCCAGAAAAACAACACTGCACTTTATCATATGCCTGATGGACTTCTTGATGGTGTGGATGACCAATGAAGGTTGCATTAGCATTATTTACATTTACATCCCATCTTTCTTCCAAGGAGCTGAAGATGGTGTACAGTGGTACCTCAGGTTAAGTACTTAATTCGTTCCGGAGGTCCATTCTTAACCTGAAACTGTTCTTAACCTGAAGCACCACTTTAGCTAATGGGGTCTCCTGCTGCTGCCACGCCGCTGGAGCCTGATTTCTGTTGTTATCCTGAAGCAAAGTTCTTAACCTCAAGCACTATTTCTGGGTTAGCGGAGTCTGTAACCTGAAGCATATGTAACCTGAAGCGTATGTAACCCGAGGTACCACTGTACTTAATCTCCTCCTCCCCATTTTACCCTCACAACAACCCTGTGATGTAGACTAGACTGAGAGTGAGCAACTGGCCCAAGGTCTCTCAATGAGCTTCATGGGTGAGGGGGGATTTGAACCCCAATGGCCCATGTCCTAGTCCAACACTCTAACCACTATGCCACACTGGCTCTCCTGCAAATACTACAGGAAACAACCAGAAAACTATCGTTAAAAGGTCAGGGATAGAGCATCTGTGGCCCTCCAAGTGTTGGGTTCCAACTGCTATCAGCCCCAGCCAGCATGCCCAATGGTCAGTGATGATGAGAGTTTGGGCCAACAGTATATGGCAGGATGGAAGCAGTAAGGCCTCTGAATAACAGTTACTGGGAACCACTGTGGGGAGACGCCTCTTTTGCTCAAGTCCTGCTGCTGGCTTCCCACGGGCATCTGGTTGGCCCCTGTGAGAATAGGATGGGCCGTTGGCCTGGTTCGGCAGACTCTCTGTACGTTCTTATGGACAGCCACAAGCTCCTGGTCCCTAAAAGTGCTTCTGTTTGGGATTCTAGCCAGTCTGTCAGAGGAGCCCTGTGGTGCTTCTCTGGCCAATTGAGATGGCAAAAGGAGAAGCAGAAGGCATTTTTCTTCCTTGCTGCTAGTTTATACCTGCTGTGCCCTATTGGGCTACAGGATTCAGGTCTGAGGCGATCTCCTAGTCCCAAACCTAAGCAGCGGGAGGGCTGGCTCTGTACCCCCTGGAAGGTGTCCTTTGATGATTAGCAAATACAGTGGTACCTCTAGTTATGAACTTAATTCGTTCTGGAGGTCCGTTCTTAATCTCAAACTGTTCTTAAGTAGAGGCGTGCTTTCGCTAATGGGGCCTCTTGCTGCTGCTGTGCCACCGGCACATGATTTCCGTTCTCATCCTAGGGCAAAGTTCTCAACTTGAGGTAACTCTTCCAGGTTAGCGGAGTTTGTAACCAGAAGCATTTGTAACCTGAGGCGTTTGTAACTCGAGGTACCACTGTGTAAGGAACTTAGTAAATCCCAAAGCGATTTGCAAAATGAATAATAAAAAGACATAACATATAAAATTAGGGGTCCATTAAAACACTGCAAAACACATCTGCCACAGTGTTCCTAGGCACACCCTATGGCCCAGCCCTCACCATCCAACATAAAGTGCTGAGCAAGGGAGATATACCGTATTTTTCACTCTATAAGATGCACTTTTCCCCTCCTAAAAAGTAAGGGGAAATGTGTGTGAGTCTTATGGAGCGAATGCAGGCGGGAGGCTCTGCTCAGCGCTCCCTTTAAAGAGCCGCACACACGCTACATGCGCTCGTTAAAGGGAGCGCGGCTCTTGGGGGAGCCTTAGCCACATGCAGCCTCTCCCAGGCAACAGGAGCCTTCATCCCGCTGCCAGGAAGAGGCTGCGTGCGGCTATCCCATAAGCCAGGACACAAGCGGGATCGCTGCGCTGCTAGTCCAAACCCCTGCAATGCAGAAATCTCATCTAGATCATACTTGACAGATGGTCACCCAACCTCTGCTTTAAAAGCTCCAAAGAAGGATTCCATTACCATCGGGGTCCCTTCCAGCTCTGCAATTACATGATTCGTTATATACAGGTTGAGTGCAGGTGTTGCTACTGCTTCACTCCAACAGGTGTCTCAAATTCACTGCTCCACACCAGATTTCTAGGGAAGCCATCAGGAAGATCAGATTTCTGTCTGAGAGCTCCACCACTCTCCATGCCTGTCTCTCAGTCTACACCTGCAGCTTCTTCACAAACAGCTTGGTG